TAGCCCGCCCTGGTTCTATGACAAGGCACTCTTTGGGTTCTTTTGTGATTGTGAATCTGAAAACATTTTTCTTTTTCTTTCTTTTATTTATTTTTTTGAAAACATTTTTATTTTTCAAAGTTGGTGTGGCATTGCCTCCTCACTAGTAAGCAGAACACATCATGGAGGGCTTGTGAAGAGGGCAAAAGCTGTCTCTGGGAGAAAAGGAAATCAGTATCTTATTAATTTTAAGTTGATTGAATTCTATGGTCAGTAATGATTTTTAATCAGTAGCATGCCACTTTTATGAAATATACACATGTAATAGAGAAGAAAGGTCAGGGGTACAGAGAGTAAAATGAAAGTAGTAATAGCCTCTCACTGAACACAAGGGCCCTGTAAATACAATGCTCAAGATTTGTACTTCAAATCAGACTACCTAGATTTTAATTCACACTCTCAGCTCATTGACTCACTGAACTTGGACATTGCCTTATATAAGTAACTGTACTAATGATAGAACTGACATATGAGGTTCCTATAAACATTAAATTAGTTGATATATATAATTGCCCAGCTAAATGCTTAGCATATAGAAAACCTTGATAAATGTTAGCTATAGTTAAGACTATTGAATCATTCAATTATTATATATATATATATATATATATGTATATCATGTGTAATATATATCAGTAGCCAGTGGTACTAGGTTAGAAAACCAATTCAGCAAATGAGTCATCCTTAAAGGATTTTTAATAATTTTATTAAAGATTTTCTATTTATGCAAGCAGCAACTTTAGTGCTAACCATAACAGCAATATAAAATGTATTCTACCTTCCAATGCCCATTGATAGTTTACCTTAGCACTAGTTGAAACTGCAGAGGAAGTAAAGGCCTTTTCATCTATAAAGTTTTAAAGATACTCAATTTCAGCATCTATGAAATGGAGAAATAGCATTTCTGTATATTTTTGTGAGTATGAAGTTTGTTAATACATGCAAAGTATGTTAAAAGGTACTTGGTTTTTGCTTAGCTTATGTTGGTTTATTATTTCTTTAAATATTATTTTATTAGTTATTTTCTTAAATAGCAGTTCTTCTCTGCCTGATAGTAATAGGAGCTGAAATAGAATCACTTAGAGCTTCTGCTGTAGAGTAAGAGAACTCCAGGGTTACTGACTTAGAGAGAATTTGTTGGGTTGATGCAATGAAACCAGCCAGATTATTATCAGCAGCAAAGGCCACGCCTGTCATAATTTTTTATTCCTAAATCTCATAATTAAATATGATATGTATAGAAAAATTTTCATAGTATTTATATTTCTGATATATTTTATGTTAAGCTTGGTACACTAAAATGTGTATGTATTAATATGGTTTGTTATTCTACAGGACACTTAGAAAATTAAAACACTCTTCTCCTATAAGTACTATTTTAAAATGAAAAATTTCTCTGAGGAAAAATCAAACACAATTTTAATTAATTCAGCGACAGTTACTAAATTTCCACACAAGTATGGACTTTCTTCTGATCCACAGTATGTGATGCATTTTCTGTTCATTTGTTTTTAATAGGGGCTGTTTTTGTTGTTGATTATGTTTGTCTATATTGTTTATGTTTATTGTTTTAATCAAAGTTATTTATGTTGTTTTTGTTGTTTAATAGGGGTTGTTTTTTGTTATATGTGATTTTCTTGACAAAACTTTCTCATTGGTCTGAAATGAAAACACTTAAAAAAACATTTTTTATTTCCTCTATAATAGCATGGGTTATTTTGAGGCAGGGTTTTAACTCTGAAAAAATTATAGTTACATACCAGGGCTGTTTGGATTTTTCTCTAATTAAGGAGTGTAAAGCTAGAATTTCTGGGTAAAACACGGTATCGGACTAACAGTGTCTAGATGCTATCTCCTAATTTTCCCTTAAAAGATTGTCAAAAGAAGATACAGAAACACTAAAACAAACACCATCACTGGAAACTAATGAAAAAGAATTTTATTATTTGAAGATTTGGTAGGGTAGGATTAATGAACAAAAGTCTACAACACAGACACTTGGCGTTATTGGCTGAAACCAGCATGATGACGACCAAAAGTACAGAGGAGATGTGTACCTATCTGAGCCATTGTTTGTCCTCATTATTGGGTCTCACAGTCAAAGGCCCTAAGCATTTATTGCGCTCCTCAGTAGGAGGGATCTGAGCAAGCCAGAGTCATGCCCTGTTTCTTCTCCCTACCTCACCTGTGCCTCTCTCTCTCTCTCTCTAAACCCTAAGAGGAACAGAAATACCCAATAAGTGAGCATGGCAATAGTTATTTGCATTCTGAATACCAAAATTTCAGTAAAAGGAGTATTGTGTGTGGGAGCAGATACTAGCATCACCTGAGACCTAAGTGTATCGGGAAGAATGTAATTTAACATGTTATATACTATGATAAAATAAGTCATTTATTTAAAGCATAGACCAGGAATCAGTAATCAAGAAGTTTCCATCTGTACAGAGCTGTCCATGAAATCTTATAAGACACTAGAAATTAGTCTAGGGCCTATACACAGCAAAATCTAATCTATAAGTCAAGATCAACTTATTACTAGATGAAAATAAGCATTTTCTGTGATTCATCAATTTTTTTCTCTTAGGTACATGATAAAAATGCATGCATATGTATGTACTGCAAAATATACAGATGAATGTTTATTATAGCTTTATTTGTAACAGCCAATAAAATCACAATTATCAAAGAGTTAATGGATGAACTATGAACATCCCACAAATATATTTTAATAGCAAACATTTTTGTAATATTCAGTATTACCATATATAGAAGTTAGATTTAGGTCAAAGGAAGATTGCAAGATTGGGGAAACAGATCTTTTGCTACAGTGTGTGGGAACAGTTGGATAAAGACAAGGAAATAATAAATAAAATGTTACCCCTACCACACATCTTATGCAACAAAATTAGTTCCAGTAAACTTTTAATCTAAATGATAAAGGGCAAATAATAAATCTTCTAGAAGATAATGGAGGAGAAATTTTAATGAATAGGAATAGTGAAATTTGTTTTAAACAGAAACAAAAATACAGACTATGTGAAAAAAACAAATCTCACTGCATTAAAATGATGACTCTGTGTATTTCAAAGCATCATATAATTGTGTAAAGTTCAGCCACAGACATTTGAAAATGAATACATATGAATGTCAAAAGACTTATCTATAATATTAATAGACAAATAATTAGAAAAGGCATCAGGAGTCATGGAAGTGCAAATTAAATACCAATAAATTATGACTAAGCACTACTTCACCAAAATGGCTAAAAACAATTTTAAAAAGACTGAAAACATTATGGAGCAGGGGAAACTTAATCACTACTGGTAGAGACTTAAATTGATTTAGAATGTCTGGCATTGTCTACTAAAGTTGAAAGTAAGCATTTCCTGTGGATCAGCAATTTTTGTCCTAGGTTACAGACTTGATAGAAATGGATACACATGTGTATTGTAAGATACACACATAAATGTTTATTATAGCTTTATTTGTAATAGCCAATACTGGAAACAGCCCAAATATCTAATACAATCAGTGTAAAGCATAAATAAGTTTCATTTAACTCATGATAAAACAACAAAAAAAATGACCCACAAATGTATAAAAATTAGGAATGGATTTCATGTTCATAATATTACATGAAAACAGCCAGATGTAAAATATTAGTCATTGTATATTTGCATTTACATAAAGTTTGATAGCAGACAGAACTAAATATAGTGTTCAGGTATATAACCTTTGGTGATAAAACTAAGAAGGTAGCAAAGTAGTGCCATACACAAGAGGACTATGATTACCTTGGGGCAGAGGAATGCAGAGAGTATCATGATTATGAGGGAGGGTTTCTGTAGGAGTTGGTCAAGTTCTGTTCCTCGACTCAAGTAAAAATCATCAGATAACTCTCCAAATGTCAGGAAATTTTTTGAATATGAAGAATACCTTTATAGGAAAAATGGAATAGAGGTTTGGTGCAGATGTTCAAGTAGTTTGATGGAAGATATGAAGCAAGAATGTCAACATACACAACAGCTGAGAACATGGACCTGGAGTCCAAACAGGATTTAAGTCCTGACTCTTCAGTGATCTTGGGCAGTATAGTGGTAAAGTGCCCCTTTCTAGAAGACTATCATGAGAATCTGGTCATCAATAAGGTTGATTTTATTAAAGTTACAACAAATAAAGATACCATCTGGATTGTCTTAGTAGGGTTTTTAAAAAGGTAAGTTAGGAAAAGTTTTCAAACAGTCAGGAGCTGGGCTGAGAGATTTTAAGTCTCCCAAGGTAGAAATTTGGTAGAAAATTAGAATCAGAATCTGAAAAATAGCTGAAGTGAGTGAGCATAGCAAGGTTAGGGACTTAAAACAATGTTGGTAAGTACTCTGTTTTAGTTGGATCACAGTCTAATGCCCTGGGAGTAAGTATTTCTTGAAGCAGTCAGCTCAGGAATTATCATTTGGTTTAGTGTTGTTGAACATAGATTTAGGAAAACAATGTCTGGTCTGAATATTGTTTAACATAGAAAATAATGTTGATTTCAGTTCTCAGTACTTAAACTTCTTTAAGCCATAGTATCTTTATCTTTGAAATGCATGTTGTGAGTATTAAGTAAGTTAAAACATAGAGAGCACTTATGTCTGGGCCTGATGTTGAATAATTACTGAACATAGGTTAGCTGAAATTATTTTTTACAAAGCTATTTTGTGTAATATATGGATTTTGATGCCCGCATTATTTGACCCATGTTCTGGTATTAGATTTTCCAATTTCAAATCTTGTTCCATTAATTCCTAGCTTGTCTTCTACAGTAGATTGAAAATTTTTGAAATAATCTTCCCCTATCTTAGAATATAGAAACACATTTTTTTTTTGATATTGGATTGCCATTATCCAAACAGAAGTGACTGAAACCCAAATGTATGTGCTTGTCTAACCCGCATTATTAACTACCATTGTTTTATTTGCAGAATGACATGAATTACATAGCATCCAGTGGACTTCTATTCAAAGATGGCAAAAAGAGGATTGATTACATTCTGGTTTATAGAAAGTCAAATATACAATATGACAAAAGAAACACGTTTGAAAAGAACCTCAGAGCAGAAGGCTTGATGTTGGAAAAGGAGGTAGGTGTTTAATAATATTAATTATGTGATATAATATGCTGGAAGAGAGATCATCTTTTATGTTTTGGTATGGAAAGTATGTAGCACATGGCTTTATAAAATGTATAGTTATTTTTTGCCCAATGTGAAAGAAATACACACTATGCATAGTCCCACTTAAATATGTATTCCTTTTTTACTCTCTACATTTCTGTAAATTTAAATGTTTTTCAAAGTGCATAACTATCTTAAATTTTTTTTAAATTGAAGAAGGAATAATTATACCAATGTAAAGTACAAAACCCTATGGAAAGAAAAACAAAATGTTGAAAGAAGAGAGTGCCAAACTCTTAATATCTGGGTTTTAATTTTGGAACTATGGGCGATTTTCTTCCTAATCTTTTTTCTATTATGCTTTTTTAAAGACTATTTTTTACAAAAGGGGAAGAGCTGAGGGAGGGAAGGAGGGAGGGGGCATGGGAAAGTGGTGGGGGTTAGGCAGAGACAAATGTATTTGAAAAAATAAATTAAAAAAATAAAAAATAAAAAGAAAGAAAGAAAGAAAAGACTATTTTTTAGAACAGTTTTAGGATCACAGCACAACTGAGATGTAGGTACAGAGACTTTGTATATACCCCAACCTCTACACATGCATAGTTTCCCCGTTATCAACATCTCCTACCAAAGCAGTACATTTGTTACCATTGATAAACCTACATTGACACATCATTATCACTCAGAGTCCATAGTTTACATTAATGTTCCCTTTTGAAGTTGTACATGCTCTGGGTTTGGACAAGTGTGAAAAAAGGATCTACATTACAGGATCACACAGAGCATTTACAGCATACAGAGCGTGCTGTAAAAATTGTCTGTGTTCAGCTGGGCATCTCTCCAGCATTCACAGCCTTGGACCTTTCTGCTCTCTGCATACTTTTGTCTTTTCCAGAGTGTCATATAGTGGAACCACAGTGTGTGTAGAGTTTGCAGATTGGCATTTTTCACAGAGAAGCAGCCATTTAAGTTTTCTAGCTCCTTTCTTTTTAGTGTGGAATAATATTGCATTGTCTGGATGCTCCACAGTTTTTTTGTCCATCATGTACTAGAGGACACCTTGGTTGCTTACATGTTTTGGCAGTTATGAATGAAGCATCTATTATATACGCTATGGGTGAATACCAAGGATTGCATTGTTGGATTATATGGTAAGAGTATGTTCAGTTTTGTAAAAAAAACTTCCAAACTGCCGTTCAAGATGGCTGTATCATTTTGCACTTGCACCAGCAATGAACAAGAGTTCCTGTTGCTGCACATCCTTGGCAGCACTTACTGTTGTCAGTATTCTGAATGTTGGTCTTGTAATAGTTGTGTAGAGGTGTTTTATTTTATTTTTGTTTTCTCGATGACAGATGATGTGAAGTAAATTTTCATATGCTTATTTGTTATCTATCTTCTTTGATAAGGTGATAAGATCTTTGGCCCATTTATTAATGAGGTTGGTTGTTTTTTTATTGTTGAGTTTCAAGAGTTCTTGATATATTTTGAATAACAGTCTTTTATCAGATGTGTCTTATACAAATATTTTCTCTCAGTTCTGTGTATTGTCTTTTCATTCTCGATTTTGTATGTTGCCGAGCAGGTTTTAATTTTAATGAAGTCCAGTGTTATAACCATTTCTTTAATGAACTGTGCACTTGGTGTTACATCTTAAAAGACATGACTATGCCCAAGGTCATATTAAGTTTTCTCCTGTTTTTTTTTTCTAGGAGTTTTATAGTTTTTCACTTTACAGTTAGGTCTATGATCTATTTTTACTTAATTTTTGTGAAAAGTGTAAGGTCTGTGGCTAGATTCATTTTCCTTTTGCTTGCAGATTTCCAGCTGTTCTACCACCATTTGTTTAAAAGACTGTTCTTACTCCATTGTATTACATTTCTTCCTTTGTTAAAGATCAGTTGACTTTTATAAGTTAAGTTGATATTATATGGGTCTATTTGTGGGCTCATCTGTTCCATTGGTCTGCTTGACTATTTATTCACTAATACCTCTCCTGTAGCTTTACAGTAAGTCTTGAAGTCAGATAATGTCAGTCCACTAACTGAGAGGAAAAAACAACCCTAAATTAACTGTTGGAGTAGTCTCTAAATAATGACTGATGATAGTTAATAGTTTTCTTATAAAAATGATACAGGCAAGGTAAAAAAAAAGCTTTGATGATTTCTTTGTTTAAATATTTAGATAATTTTCTAATAATCTCATCAATAATAGAGTGCCCACCAATACTTAAATAATATTGGAGCCCCTTCCTTTCTTTTCCCCACAAAACATTTCCTGTTATTAGTTTTCTGAGAAACACACATCAGGAAACCCAATTTTAGTTATTAAAATGCTTAATATGCATAAAATTACAATCATGCAAGCCTTGAAACTTTTCAAGGTAAAGATTTATTCACATATAACCTAGAGTTACAGAATTGGACAAATGGATTTCTGATCTCAATTCTATTGACTCCTTTAGCTGTGAATCCTTCTTTATGCCTCTTCCAGGATTTTTTAACCCAGAATATCCATATTACTGGTAACTAATTCAATCAAGAAATATTTATTGGAAAATTTATGAACTAAGTCTTTTAATAGGCTTTTCTTTAGCCTATCCAAGCTAGACTGGCATTTTAGCCTATCTTTTCTTTAGAAGTTGTTTCTTCTCCATAGCAAGAAAAATAAATTACTTCCTCATTTGTTTTCAGAGCAGTTTATAAATACATTCTATTAAAGCATTGGTAGTTGTTTTGCTCACATATCTCCAATTATTTGTTATTTATGCAAATAAATTGGACTGGTATTGTGCAAGCCGTTGGGGACCCAATGAGGTAAGTAGACCATATACCTACCTTCATTGGACTTGTAGTCTGTGTAGAAGTCAGTCATGAATACTGATTAATCAGCTCACAGTCTTTACCTACTTTTCTTGGCAAAAGGTCCAGATTCTCTTTTAAATCTTCTCCCTTGTTCCTCCATATTTCCTCCCCACCAAATAATCCTGGATGTTATTCATCCCAAAGGGGTCTGGTTCTGCTTTTAGAAAGAAATCCATTCATTCTGGAGCTCTCACTCTTTAGTCTCTGCTGAAAGATATATGTTTGTTTTGTTTGTGGTTTTGCTTTTTGTTTGGTTTAGTTTGGTTTTTGTTCTAGATTGGCTGTCAGCATACCAGTGTCCTATGTATATACAGCTGTTCCTGGATTCTGGGTTCAACAAATAGAGTTCTATTAATTCATATTCACATTCTTATGATTGAAGGCAAACTATACATACATGATGGTGGTTTGGATATGGTAGGAAAGATAAGAAAATCTTAATGATAACTTGAGTTTGTGGCTTGAGTCATCTCCGTTCATTCAACAAGCATTAGTGATACATCCATGTGTGCTACATTCTGGAGATAAATAGGAACCAAGATAAGAATGTGCCAGGTTCTCATGGAAGGAGAAAAACCATAAAGAGACAAGGAAAATGACATAGTGAAGGATATTACCCAATAATTCAAATAGAATGTTATATAGGGAGTGTGACTAGGTAGCTATGTTAACGTGTGTGATCTGAAAGAAAGTGATCTGAATGGGTAGTCCACCATAGGGAGAAAAAGGAGGCAGAATGAAATAGCCAAAAGAAATAGCCCAATTTCTACAGAAGAAATAGCTAATATAAAACTACTGTTGACCAGAAGAGAGCTAATTTGGGGAGAAAGTGGGATGGGATTATGGAATTGAAAATCATAAACTAGTAATTGAGGTAATGTTGAGAAATACAATGTTTGAAATTTCTGCCTAGAGCCCTACTAGAACTGAAAGTAAATATATATGGTAGTAGAAGTGATTTATAAGAAAAAAACTTTCTGGAGAGAGTAATGGAAAAAAAATGAGCCCCAGAGTGAGACTGTAAAAGGTAGAAAAAGAAAAAAGTGATTTGGAGGAGCTGGGAGTAGGTAGAAAAAGAAAAGATGAGAAGTCACAGGGAAGAGTGGTTGTCTGGGTCAATTACTGCTGAGAAGTCCAGTAATACCAAGAAAGAGGCCTATTCCATTGGGCAACATGGAGATATTTGGTAAAAGGAATGGAATCATTTCTCTGAGGAGATGGGCTTCCAAGCTAGATTGGCATGAGTAGAGGAGTGAATAGATAATGGAAAAATAGAGGCATCCTCAAATATCATTAACTTGCTTATCTGTAAATGGGAATATGAAAAGCAATAGCCAACAAGGGAAAAGAGATCTTGTCAAGTTTTGTTTCATTTCCTTCCTGTCTCCCTTCCTCTCTCCAGGAAAGAAAGATGGAAGGAGAGAAACAAGTAGAGAAGGAAGGAAGAAAGACTGAGGAAACAGAAGACAGATGAGATTAAAAAATGACCTTTGAGTCGAAATGAAAAGGAAAATAGAGTAATAGAATATCAAGTATAATACAAGAAAAAATCAAAATTTCTCAATTATATTTTAAAGTTAATTTACTACAATTATTTCTCTCATTTGTCAAAGATATTTTTACAAAAGGGTTATCTTATGTTTTTAATTCTAAAAGTAATGACATTGATTTTTGAATAGTTGAATTAATTAGGACTAGATTAATTACCCCAATGTTAATGTGTAAAATCAACCTGCTATGACAAATGCAATCTGAGTGAACAAAAACATGTTTCTACAAAAAGCATTTTAACATTATATAATGAAAATTATTGCCTTAACATTTCAAATTAAGATTTTTAACACTGTTTTTGTATTAGGTTTCTACTGCTGCTTAACAAATTACCACACATTTAGCAGCTTAAAACAAAACCCATTTATTAACACACAGTTCTGTAGGTCAAAGCTTAGGTCATGACATGATTGGGCTCCTTGCTCAGTTTCTCACAAGACTTAAATCAGTGTTGGCAGGCTCTCTTCACACCTGAAGCTCCAGGTACCCTCAGCTTATGTGGTTGTGTTGGGACTTAATTCTTGGGGTTGTAGGACTGAGGTTCCCATTTCTTTGGTGGCTATTGGCCAGGGACTGTTCTCAGCTCCTATAGACCATTCTCTTTCCTTTTCATATGGTCCTGTGTCTCCATTTTCAAAACCACCAATGAAGAATCTTCCTTGTGTCCCTCTGCTATTTTGAGTCTCTCTTGCCAGGAAGAGCCCATTTCCTTTTAAGGACTCGTCTGCCATGAAGGATAATCTCCTGTTCTTAACAGCAAATATAACATATAACATCACCTAATAATGGGGGTGAATATTCCATCATATGCACATGTCCCCAGGGTTGTACAGGACAAGGACAACAGCAGAGTATGAGGATCTTGGAGAATACTTTAGAATTCTGCCAGCCACACTATTAAAAAATATCAGCATCATAAAGAAATGTACTGCCCTTCTAAGCAAACAGACTTAGAAAAAAACTTACCTCTATAATGACAAGATAGAATCTAAGTTCTTGGTTGTTTTTTTTAGTTTAAATCTTATTCTAACTGATAGGTAACTCATATGTAAACACTTAACATCTGTTTGAATGGTCCAGTTCAGCATTTTGCATTATCATAAACATTTATGGCCTTTGGTGGCAACTTAATTTTAATCAATATCAACTGAAAATACATAGGGCTTGTGATAGACAGAAAGGGACAATGAAATTGTGAAAATGTCTGCAATATTGGATTTTAGTTGAAAAATGGGGGTAATTCTTAGTGAACAGTCCTCATTCTCTGTGATTTATTTACATTTACCAGAGCTAAGCACTGAGCCTGGCATAGAACAGGTCTTAAATCCTCATTCAGTTGCACGTTGATGCGAACAGATTTTAGATGGTCATGTCAACAGATAATGATGCATATTGGAAAGCCATATGAATGAATAGGTAGATGATCTATCACTGTCAGGGAGGGCACTTTGTTATCCAAATCCATTTCTATATCATAGTAGCAATTTCTCTTTGTCTTAGACTTAATACCATGAGCCTCACATTCTATTTTCTCTCAGTTCTCTGATGCCAACTTGAATAGTGACTGTAAAAACAATTTTTTAATTTCTTCTCTCAAGTAAATGTTCTCCCGCTTGGGAGTTTTGGATGGAATAATTAAATAATAATGTGAAGTGTGAAGGCAGTGGATGTTTTGTTCCCCCAGAAAAGCCTGCCTTCACCAAAGCTAAGTTGGATAGTGCCAGATTGGGAGCTTTTGATTGCAAAAGAGAAAGTTGTCTTTCCCTCTGCCAAAACCATCCCTTTACCAGCCCCCTGCTCAGTAGCTCCAAGAAAATAAAACTCCTTTTTTTTAAGTAAAGTTATAAAAAAAGGGAAATTAAGTTGATGGAATTGTAAAAGAAGACAGTTCATGCTGCTTGAAAAGATCTATATATGTTAAAAGTCAAGAAATACAAAATTAGAAATGTTCTAGCTCTTTGTGCACTTAGCCTGACACTTTACTCATTGATGATAGAATAATGCAGAAACATCCTTCAAAAGCACCCCTTTTATTTAAGTGCATTAGGTTGTCTCCGATTTCAGAGGTTGACAGAAATGAGTTAATAATCAGTACTAAGCCAGCTATTTATTCATGATGCTAATTTGATTCTTCACGTAGCACCTCTTCCAGAATAATTCTGGCTTAATTGCTTCCTTATCTCCACCATTTCTTGCTTAGGTGCAAATGACATAGAACGGACTGAGAATAAGTTACATCAGTACATTCATTAAACATTTGCCAATTTTTATTTTCATCATTCTTTAACTTTATTTAAAGTAAACATATTCGACGTAGAGAAGATCTTTGGAAATTGCACAGAAGTGAAAGCATCTCCTGCCACTTTTCCCATGGTGATTTGTAAAACACTAGTACCTCAATAAGCTATGAGAAAAGAAAAAGGCAATCCATGGTCTGAAATTTTGGACATTCAGCTGGCTTTTTTCACCTTCTTGTATTTTTTAGTGAGCACATGCATATTAAAATGTCAGAATTTTTCTATCGGGAAACCCAAAACTAACTTGACCATGGAATATCCACCCCCCAACTTCTTTTTTTTATAATTCTTTCTGAAACAAACCTTGGCAGATGCTGACCTGTGAAAGTACACACCCTGTGGTAGCAGCAGTGAGTCTGTCTCCTGCATTCAAGTGTTAGTGCAGTGAATGGCTCATGGTTCTCCAATAATTTTGTTTTAAAATGTTGCTGATACAAATTTAAAATATTATTCTGGCCAACTTGTGAAATTAGCCATGTCTAAAATATAGGGCTTTATAAATAGATGGATATAAAAGTTTACAGTTTAATTTTAAAAGATATGTAATTTAAAATTAAACTGATAAATTTCTTCCATTCTTTTGAGATTTTAAGACTGGTTTGTTCCTTGGGAAGTCCCATCTAGTTGAACAATGTTAACCAAACTGAGTCCCGCTGTGTCCACCCTGGCAGGTGTGTCTAAATGGGAGCATATAGCGGTTCTTCCCTTACACAGCTCCTCTAATAAGCGGGAGGAGAAGGCCTCTGGCCACAAACTCTTTCCTGCCTCTGTGGGCCTTAGACACTGTAGGAGCTTCAGAGAATAACTATCTAGACATTTTTTTAAATAGAATATGAATGTGAATACTACATAATGCCAAAGTAGTCCATTAGTTCTTATGTTAGACTGTTGGACCTCATGTAAGAATCTTGATCTCAGAGAGGCATCTGATCCTCGATGAGTGATCTGAGCAAAATATTCAGAACAATGGGATCCAATTGTGAGAATTCTTAAGAATTACAACAGGTATACTTTTTTTAAAAACCTTCTTAGATAATTCCAGTGCACATCTGACTCTGCTTTAAAAACTTTTGTCTAGATCAAAGACACTGAAATTCTTATATTTCTTTATATGAGAAAGAGTGGACTAAAAAAAAAGCTAGGGAGAATTAGACAGCTTTGTAAGGTAATGGACTTGAATGTTTTACACTCCATTTTCCACCTAGGATTACCATAGTACCTAGCAAGTAGTAATGACTCAATAAAATATGCTAAAAGAATGGTGAATTAATCAATTAATGACTGGTGACAACTGTCCATCTCTTCTGAGCAAGAATGAGAGGAACTTGATAAATTACCCGGCAAAAATTCCTTTAGATTTCTAACTCTGTCATAATTTTCCTCATTGGGGATTCTGGATCCCGATAACAATCAATGTAAGAAAATGCACTAACTCATATTGGTGATTATTTTTTGTATATGATTTCATCATTAAATTTTTGTTTTAGATTTTTACATATTAAGAATTTTTATTCATATAAATTACTTTTAAATCAGTGACAATGGTGCATGTGTAGACAAGAGGTCAGTGTTCTTTCCTCTTAAATCAAGTTGTTCCCTGATATCATCAGTTCTGATTATAAATAATGGTGCCTGTCCTGCTCTCCTTTGCAGCCAGCTGTTGCAAACACTGATATCATGTTTATTAAAATTCATATTCCATGGGACACGCTGTGCAAGTATGCAGAGAGGCTGAATATCAGGATGCCCTTCAGGTACTTGGAAATTTTATTTCATTTTCTCTCAATATTTCTTAAGATCAGTCTTTTTGCAAAATCTTACAGCACGAAATGTAATCATTTCAACAAGAGAATTGCTTTTTCTTCCAAAGGTTAGGTACTCTGAGACACTTTTTTCCCCCTGTAATTTGCTTGCCTAATGTAGCAAATTTTGTGCCTCCCTAGGTACTTTATATCATTTCTCGATGTACTTTTCTAAAGGGAGGGAAAAACAGTTGTTTCCACATTTTAACTGATAACATAAATCTCAAGATCAATTTCATTTCTTATTTCATGTAGGTGGGTGGAACTCTCATTGTTTTTGTGGAAGGCAGGAAGTTTAAGTATGTAATATCCTTATGCATACAAATACAGTGTTCTTCTCTGGATAGTGGTTAGCAAGAATCATCCCTCAGATGCAATTCAACCAGATGGTTTCTTAGCTTTGCCCTCGGTATCAAAGGAAGATTGTAATGAGATGCCTGCTTAGTTCAAAGATTTATCAGTCCTTCCTATAGGCAAGCAAATATTGGATAGAAATGATTTCCTACATTGCATATCTTGTGTTATATGCAGAATGTTTCCCTTTCCTCAATCACTTTTCAAAATAAAATTCAATAGTTTTCATATTATATGCCAAGTGTTAACTCACACTTAAGATAGGGATATTTGTACTTATTTGGAGCTCAGTGTGCTTTATTATCTGCTAAGAATGTTTTAAAATGTTCAGAGTAACAAGATACCAATAAAAAGGACCTCTAGATAATGAATATGAATGAACAGTAAGAGAGCAATTAAAAAATGTGGAGAAATTTCACATACCTGGTAGCACGAAAGAGGCCAGCTCTGGTAAGAGTGTTGACATCCCTAAGTCTTATGATATTCATTTAAAAAAAATGATACTAATATTTTTTATTTCCTGGTAAGGGTGCATTTGATAGAAGAGTTCTGATAAGAGTAAAGAAAGAATATAAAAATTATGAAACTTATGCAGTTACTGTCTCTTATTGATGTTGTGTCTTAAATTTTGTCTTTATAATATGTTTTTCAAAATAATGGTTACAGGTGCGGTACCATGATTTAATAATAATATCTTAGAAAATATGCAACATTTCCCAAAGTATATCAAAATAATGCTGGTTTCACAGGCTCTTAGTAGAAAAACATCTTGTGACCAAATATGTTTCTGAATTTCCTCGTTATACAGTGTTTCTTCACTGTAGGAATTTTTAGAGAAGTGGTTCTCATTCTCAGTCTTAAGAGTACATCAAAATCACCCAAGAAACTTTGTAAAGATAAAGGTTTGTGGGACATCACCTGGATATTCTGGCATATTAAGTCTAGGATAGGGTTGGATATAGACATTTGTAACAAACATCCCAAATGACTCTGATGCAGATGTCTCAGAGATTGCAATATTTTAACAATTATAGAATTTTTTATAAATTTTAAGAGACAGTTATACAGAGCAACCTTTCCCAAATTTCCATCTGATAATGGGTTTTTAAAAATTTTAATATGGTGGTATTCTTGGGGAAAGAGTTTGAGAAATGCTGGAACACAGACTTCTTTTGGAATATCTTTCCAGATCAGTTTACATCATAGATAACAGCATTAGCTAACTCCTTAGTAATTAACTACTCATTTATTTATTATATTCCTAAAATTTGGGAGAGTTGTCAGCTCACAAAAAGTGAATGCTATTCAAGCCTAAACTGCATAGTAGAGCATTTCATGATGGCCACTTCGGTTTCCAACTGTCAACTGTGATCACATTGAAGAACATATATGCTGCCTTTAAATATACAAAAATAACAAAGAACTTAAATAGGAAAATTGATATCTCTTTTTAAAGATCTATGCATAAAAATTTGGCTAATCTACATATTTAGTCAGTGTTGAAATATACATGTTACATTCCACAAAAATAGCTGCAAATTTATTCAGAAAACATGTTAGAGTTTTAGCACTGCCTGCAGACGTTTTCAGCTGACTTGTATGAACATGAATCTTGAGCAATTTATCTAAATTTTTGGATTGAATATATGTGTAGAATTGTCTATACCTATATTTTCTAGATACTTCTTTGCTTGATTATTCTTCCAAGTAAATATAGCCTAAATAGTAGACTTCATGTTTCAAAACTAACCACAAAAATTTCAGAGAATGAAAAGTCTACATTTTCCAGTTTTTACCCTGTCAGGATGGACTTAACCTGTCCTCTTTACATTCCAGAAATATCACCTCCCACTTACATTATTTTTCTTTGGATTCCAAGGTGCTTCCTACTCATCCTTACTCTTCTTTCACATTAAAAGCGTCAAACATATTTTAGGATGATTCAATCACCCTATAGCTTCACAGGTTGAGTTCCAAGATGGGGTCAACCTTTCCTCTTTCCTCAAACTTCCCCCACAAATATTTTAAATATAGCAAATTTGGCGGAATATTTTTGAATTATTAAGAACATTTTTTTCTAGATTAAAAATATTTTTATCAGAATTAAGAGTAAACTTAGATCCCTTTTTAAGCAAAGGATACCTTACTCAAAAATAAAATGGTATGAAAAAATACAGGGAGCCCAACACATAGAATAAATAAAGGTGGAGTAACTGTGCTTGACAAGGAGCTGTGGACTCAGGGTCCCGTCTCTGTGACTGCCCTCCTCACGTGGCCCTGCTGTCATTTCCATGTGTGGCTACTTGGCTGTGTGAAACTAGTTAGAAACAGTATTGAGATAATTATTTACTTATAATTTTGAGTGATTGTATAATAGGTAGGTAGGTAGGTAGGTAAAGTAGATAAATGCTGCCCTGATGCAAGGTGTAAAATAGCAGACACTCTTCAAAGGAAAAATAAAGAAAGCTCTGTACCTGAATAATGCACAGTTAATAAGTTACAGGATAGAGGGTTAGAGGTAGGAAATGATTTGGTTCTGCAGGTTCTTTTCTGTAGAAAACTAAGAATTGCAGGTGATTATTAACTTCAGTGTATACTTGTATATTGTTGGGGATATATAATTAAAAACAAAATCTCCCCCAATCCAGAAAACTGCTCCACAGATGTAGAAGAGAAAGAAAATATTTTTATTATTGAATAGGCATTAAAATGCAATGTGATATGCATCACAGGCAAATAAGCTATTCACCATAAAAATACTTTTTTAAAACTCTGAAAGAAATGCATTGCAGAAATTGAGACATAGAGGAAAGTTTGTCTTACGTATATTTTTTAAAATCAGCCTTGAAATTTAAAACTGGTGGTTAGATAAACTTTTAAAGGGTAAAAAAAAAAAGAAATTGTAAAGACATAAAAATAAATCTCGCCTTTTTACATGCCCAAACAATGCAACCCATAACTGACATGTTCTCAAGATAAGCAGTAACCAGTCCTCAAGTAAAAGGATTCAACAGCAGTAATTTTCACGTAGTTCGTCCTAGATTTGATTGGTAATGAGGGTGTTAGTTAATAGGAAAAATTTTGTTTCTTAGTTTAATGTTTATTTGCTGTTATAATGCAAGTGGTCTTAAAAGTATATATGTTCATCTTGTATGACTTTCTTTCTTTCTTTATTCCAAAGCACTTCAAACTTTTTTAAAAAATTGTTTAACTATCTCGAAGTAACATGAAAAAAAAAAAAAAGAGAGAGAGCAGTGTTTAATCCGAATGCTCTTTGCTTTTATAACATTTCTTATCATATCCATGACCAATACTTATAACTGTAATCTTTTTATTCTCTTAATCACATTTGTAGATTTTTTAATGCTAAAATTATTTTAAACTAATTTCTACATTTGTAGTTTTGTAATAATATCTTATTAGCAAATGTTTATTGAATGTAAAATGTTCTCAGACACTGAAGGACATAGTCACATCTCTGAATTAAATAAAGGATCACTCATTTATTCATCAGCTATTTTAGTTCTTACTACTTCTCAAATAATGTGACAAGTACACACCAGGCATACAAAGTCAAATGAAACAGAACTACTGTTTTCAAGAAGCTCAATGTCTTACAAAAGATAGTCAGCGAACAGCTGTATAACAATGGGATAAATAGTGCAAGACAGCCTATGTAGAGGAGGTTCAGAGTGAAGATGGGTTTATAGTCCAATTGGATGGAATGATATATCCACACAAATGTATGTATGTTTGAAAAAAATGAAAGGGGAAAATAATTTAAATTTGGGTTTAGAATAGACATAGCCAGCTTCAAAATCCCATATTTGAATTTAGTGTTTAGTATGTCAGGGACAACTTAAAAATTATTTTCTAGTCATATTACCAGTGATGCCAATGAAATATGGTAGCTAAAAAGGTTTTCTAGTTTTCTAAGCAGTTAATAATACAGTACTAAATATAAATTGTCCTGACTCTCAGCCCTGCTTTCTGGATACCTGCTTTCTGGAACACTGGCCTCTGTTACAGGTTTTGATGAGCAGGGATACAGAGGCTCAGGTTGACATTCCCAAGCTCCAAGATGAGGATGTAGTGAGAATCTCTTAAGAGATTAATGAACCTCTGTCATTAGAATTTTTAGTTTCTCTAAAATCAGATATGCTACACAGCTACTTAAAACACAGTATCTTCCATTTCTTTTCATCCAAAACCTTAGGATTAGTGGTCAGAGTCCTCATTAACTGTGCCTTGTTCATCATCCCCCCCAATCTTTTATCTCTATCTTCAACTTGTAATCCATGCTCTAGTGATGACCAAAATAGTTGCAGTTCCTGAATCTTAACAATGTTTGTCCTTGGTCCCATAACCATTTCATATGCAGTCTAGAATGCCATGTCTCAAGTACTCATTCAGAGGACTATTCCCACTCATGCTTCAGGATTTAATACAGACAGCATATCCTCTGGGAGGGTTTCCCTGTCTCCTTTTTTCCTCCATCTACAGAAACTTACTGAGATCCCTTCGTAAGTATTTCCGCAGAACTGTTTTCCTGCATTGGCACATTTTGTTGTAACTATCAATTGTCTCCTCAACCGTGAAGCATACTCTTTAAGAGTAGAAACCATCTTTATTCTATAATTTTTTTAGAGGTTATACCTTAACATTCCTTGTAACATCAGAAATATTTATTACATATGTGTCTACATGGAGGGATGGATGGATGGATGACTTCAAATAACAAATGATCCAGTAAATATGCATTGTGTAGCAGACGAGAGATCTTCAAAAATGGAATTAAAAAATCAAATATTTAAAGGGATTTGTTGATTTATAAAAGTGTTTTATTATTAGTGACTTAGATTCTGAAATTAAAACAATGTAAATTCTATATATTGTATCGGTTGATTTCAGGTCTTCCTGAAGCATGTGGAAGTTGGATTATTGAAATGCTCGAAATTATTGAATGTTGTCAGTCACTGGTTTCACTCTTTTCATGTGACTTCCTCCAGCTCATTTCTCTTATTTTTCAGGAAAAAATCCTATTACACTGACCCAAGGAGCAAATCAACGGGCAGGTTGGTGGGTGATACATAATTTGTTTATGACTAATTTGTCGTTTGTGGGAAAAAAATAGAAAGGCATTTGATTTCCCTTTTCAGCAGTTGTAAATTTTAGGGGAAAAAACCCTATTGATTTATTCAAGAGATTTCAATAATTGACTTGTGCCAAATTTAACAGTTTATAAACAGATAATCTCTTTTATTTTAATGTACCATTGACATTCCTACAGTCCTCACTTGATATGTTTGCAAGTTAGTGTTATAGAAGATTTTAATTTTAAAAATAGTTACAAAAACAAGATTGATAAGTAAACATTGACCCAGTAGATAAATAAAACAACAAACCCAACAGAGACCTTCTGGATCATGTGTTCCAAATCTCTTATTTGACAGAGGTTGTAAAAAAAAGACTAGCATCCACAGTGATGAATTGCCACACAGCACGTTGCAAGCACAGAACTACTCTTATTTCACCACCTGAAGCTGCGTGTCTTATCCTAATATTGAAAACAAACTTCTTTTCAGGAGCTTTCATCTCAAAACAGCATCTTTTACTTATGGGTATCAGTAGCTATAATAAAGGAGTTAATCAGACCAGAAGCCTGAGACAGAAGAAATCATCGCGCCTGAACTGCCTTGGCCCTCTTTCACGGAAGGAAATGTCTCCTTTTAACAAATGGTTAAACAAAAAGCTGTGCACACTTGGCTGCTTTTCTGCTCATTGTGAAAAACAACAGAAGCAAAATATGAATGTGGTAGAGTGTGCCCTATTGAATAATATTATAGGATATTCCAAGTCGGAATGACACAAAAACTAGACCATTCTAAGAAAGGATTCAGTAAATCTAGTTCTTTTAAGAAGAAAATGGCTGAATATAATTTAGATCTTTACCATAGGAAAGATTTCAATTTTAAAATAGGAGAATATTGGTCTCTTTTAAACATTACATTTAAAATGTAGTAGGAATTTAGGAATTGCTGACAAGTAAATCATGGAGGCAGGGGGAACTTAATATTAGAGCAAGCATTAAAGGGATTAGTGCTCAAGTTGCTTTTTTAAAAAAAATCTATCATTCATAATGATCCACAGCCAAGTCAGATTTTCCTTTTGTCCAGTTAGCATGCCCTGGGTCAGAATGAACTTTCGTCACTCCCCTGTGCTTGTTTGGTCCTGGTCTATGTAGCAAATTTCCAGTTATTTTCATGTAATAAAGCCAAAGTCATTGGAATATTATAATTTATAAATTTACAACTGCAGGGGTTTTTTCTCCTTTTTTTTTTTTTTCCGCATGTGCCTGCTTAATGTTGGATGTGTTGAGAAATGTCTCAATTTGTTTTTGTTTGCTCTATAGAATTAGTGAGATTTTGCTGCTGTATGATAGTGGGTTTTCAGATAAATAGGCATCTTTCTTTCAGAGATTTGCAGAAGGATGAAATGCTGTATTTTAAATAGCAACAAATATCTATTTATGTAATATTGTCATAATTTAGTTTTATAATAAACTTGTGCTTCGAGTGCCTAATAAATATGTATACATTAAATCCTAAAGAAACAGCATTTTTAATAGTAGAAAAGATTATTTTTTTCTATTTTGGTCAAATTTAAAAGTAAACAAAAAGGGAACACTATTCGGTGTCCCATGTTTTATTATCATTTGTATTTGCTGTTTTTCTGTTTAACTTCATGAAATGAAAATTCAATTATCAGTTATTTCAAATGATTATTAAAGTCTCTTAAACATTTATATCATCAACCTTTTTACAATTTACTTTTTACAAATATTCATTGGTCCTTTACTTTGTGGATGCATATGGGGAAAGTAGTGAGTAAATAGAAAAGTGTATTACACATTAAACTGAAAAGAAGAATGTCATGTTATTCACCTTAATGTACACATTCAATTAAGGAAATAAATGATTTTGATGTTATTAAAAATTTTACCATTGGAGGAGAAAATTTAAGCGGAGTATGTTAGGGGGAGTCATCACTGTTATAACATTAAAAAATCCAATTTGAAGATAGCTAGAAAGAGAGAAACAAAATCAATTATGTGCACTTAGATTTCACTTGTATTTTTTCTTTCTTGAAGTGGGAAAGTTATTCTGTGGAAGGTACTTTAGCCAATAAACATGAGGTGATAATTAATGATGAGGTGATAGTTAATGTGCAGGTAATTACTCACCTTTTCAAGTTCATCATTTCTCCTGCCAGGAGAAATGGGGAATGGTTACAGTTTTATTATTGCTGCCATTTATCATTTGTTTACAATGCACTTTCACACTCAATTTTTAAAGTGTCTTAAAAATAACCCTTCAAGGAAGCAGAACAAATTGTAACTGCTTTTGGAGATCAGAAAAAAATCGATGACTCTGTCATCCCTGCTCCCCACCGCACCACGCCTCACCCCCTAGTCCTCACAGCTGGTTCGGTGCAAGTTGGGGTTCTGACCAAGCACTTTTGACCTTTTAAGCCAGGTTTCTTTTCATTTCCTCCCGGAAACAGGAGGAATGTACATGTGTGATTGTGAGTGCGGATGTGTTTAATGTCTTTTTGGAACTCTTTTTTTGGAATGGCAGTGGAAGGTAGGCATTACTCTGGAATGCAGACTAATCTAATATGCTAAAATGTGACTTTGTTCCAGCGTACACAATTATTACAGAAGACTCAAAAAATGGATGTCTCAAAACCCAATGGTTCTTGACAAGTCAGCTTTTCCAGACCTGGAGGAGTCGGACTGCTACACTGGCCCCTTCAGCCGCGCACGGATTCACCAGTGAGTTCCCATCTGTTTTCCCCCACTACCTGCCTCGGCATCTTTCATTGTCTGGGAGTTGTTGATAGAATAAAAATAGCTGGGACCGGTCCCGTTGTTTGCCGAATGTCAGAGAATGTATCATTTTATTAAAATGTACACTTAACTTAGAACAACACTCAGTGAACATTATTAGTTAATTACCAACTACGATTTAGAGACATTCCAGTAATGAATAATTAATTGTAAACTCATGAAATGATAGTCTAGCTCCTAATTCTTTGAAAATAATTACTATGGTAGTAAGTCAGTTAAAGTAACAAAAGTAACAAAAATGATGATAATATTAATAATAATAGAATTGCTGTTAAATAACATGCTTGAATAATAGATTGTTCTCATTAAGAAATTACATTTAAAATTATATTTAATTAATTTGTATATATTAGTTTAATCCACTGTAGTTTAATCTTATTAAGCTAAGGTGAATAAGTATTCATTTTAAGGATTTGTTACATGCGTTTCTATCTACCAGCATACAATATTTCAACTCATTTCTTTATTCGATGACTATTTGCTAAGTTTCTACATGATGCAGACTGAGGTTATGACGCAGTCCCTGCTTTCACAGTACTTCCAGTCAACTGGGTCAAAACAAAGAGGTAAAGTTAACAATTAAACAAAATAAGATAAACATGAAGATGAAGAAATGCACAGTGTGCAGTAGGTCTATAGCAAGATCAACTTGCTAATACATAATTTTGGATTGACTTAAATTCTGGGATGTTGGAAGTTGAGAGGCAGGATGAAACAGAATTCCTAACCGCCAAACATGTTAACAGAGCCAGCCATCAATGGGAAACCCCCTCTTTCAAAATTTTTTATTTATGTTATGATTTACTCTTAGAGGTGGACGTCTGGAAGCATTACTTTTTAATCCTAGTTACGGGAAGCAGAGGAAGGAATGGAAATCCAAATGACTTCTACATTGAGAGAAAGATTGCAGTTTCATGGAAGGTTTTTGTAGTACTTTTTCAAGCTCTATTATGCACCAAATTAAAAAAGAAAAATTCTGCCTTTTTTCTTTGAACCTGAGAAACTAGGGCGATCTTCCAAAAATCGCAAGGAGATCATGAAACTGTCTTGCTTAAACCACCCCTGCTCATGGACTCTCATTTACACTTAAAATAAAATTCAAACTTTTTATCAGCTACCATGTGGCCGTATAAGTTGCAGTCCCTGCCCAGCACTGTCCTCTCATCTTCTACAATTTCCGCACCATTTACTTTAGGGACACAAGCTTTGGTTCCACCCATTGAAAGCTCAAGCTTAATTCCCTCTCAGAATTTTTGTTCTTTCTGTTCTCTGCAGATATGTTCTTGACCCACATCTTCACATGGCCTATCCCTTCTTATCATTCAGCCCCTACTCAAAACCCACCAGTTCAGAGAGCCCTTCTCTGAAAATCTTCTCTATAGTCCCCTTGTACCAGTCATACTCTATGCCGTTAGTTTCCTTTTTTCTTCATATTAACAACTCCTGAAGTTACATAATTGATTTCTTTACTTATGTATTAATCTGTTTCCTTCCTTTGTAATGTAACTCCACAGAAAAAGAATTTACCTGTTAAAAAATATTTGTTCCAAAATTTCTGAATCAATCTAATAGTGAAATAATTGGACATTCTTTCCTGTTCTTATAATTTACAGGACACAGAAATTTTAATTCAGTGCATCCAAGTACAATATCAGAGTATTAGAAGGACTCTGGGTCTAATGAAATGGGCAGGTATACAGCTACAGAAGGCAAAGTAAAATTAATGTGTTAGGAAAGATACAAATAAAATGCATGTTTATGTAAGAGAAGGAGGAGCTACACCTAGAAAAGAAGACCCAGGAAAGCTTTATGAAGGAGCTAGTTCTTCTCAGCAGGTAAACGTGTGGAGGGAGGTGGTGAGAGGTGGGAGTACAGATACGAGAAACAGAACAAAATCTTGAAGTAAAGAAGTGTGGGATTCGATGGTGATGATAAATTCTACAATTTGACAGACTCACAGATACAAGAAGCCAGAGCTCTAAGAAATAAGACAAAGGGGAAGGTTTAAATGGAAGAATAGAGAGCCCTCAGAGGAAAATGAGAAATTTAATTATGCTTATTGTAGAGCTGCTGACCCATTAATAGTAGGAGTCCTCCAGGGGTCAGAAAGTGCACTAAAAGTCAGGTGGGAAGTTGCACAGCAAGTTAAGAGGGCTTTCCATAACCTAGGCAAGAGGCAGTGAGACCCAGAACAAGATGGATACAAGAAAGCCAGAGAGAGGCAGTGTAGCTATAAAAGCTGCTTCATTTGGCAACTCTTGGAATATGGATGCAGAAGAGAAAGTAAGGATCATAGAAGACCTGATACTTCAGGGCCAAGAGTCTGAGAAAATGGAGGCTTATCATTCATAAAGATAGAGCAACTGGAAACAAGTTGTCAGCAGTTGAGTAAGGGCCAGAATGCTTCCATTTGTTTGAGGCTCCCACTATGTTATAAAGTAAATACTAAAAACAGACTCTTTCTTTCCTCTTGGGATCACCCTTTTGCTTATTGTATCACTGACTGTCACCTGGCTCCCTTTGCAGCTCTTCCCACGTAGGGACAGAATAGGGCATGAAGGGGAAGGGAGAGCAATTGCTTGTTGCTGAAGTTCTGTAAGTAAGATAAGCTAGCTTGGAAAGTGTGGCATGGGGAATTACATCCATTTTTAATGTGTTCTATTTGGAACTCCATTGCTTAATTAAAATGTATGGGAGCTAATGGAAACTCCTTGTTCAATGCCAAACAAAAAACATGAAGACATCCAGGCTTTCTTACAAACTGAAAGATATTAACATGAATATTTGACAGTATACTATGATGTGTGTTTAATTTTTCTCTGCCGACTGACTTTCATTTTAAAGAGGATGGTTTATCTCCCTGTTTACTCTACTTCACATACAATAGTTGAAAGGAGAAGACAGATGGATGACTGCCCAGGAAGTTGTCACTGTTGCTGGATTCTGTGTTCTGCTCTATTAAAACCAATCCCCCTATCTTAACAGCTTCATAATAAACAATAAGGACACCTTCTTCAGCAATGCTACTCGAAGCAGGATAGTCTATCATATGCTGCAGCACACCAAATATGAAAACGGAATATCAAAAGTGGGTAAGAATGCTGATAAATAATGTAGAGAAAGGAGAATTAGCGGTTGCTATGTTTCCAAGGAATATTTAACAATCGAAGCTCTGTCTTCATGCATTAAATATGAACATGTAACACATTGAGCACAAGCTCTAAACATTTTATTTTTCAGCCTTTCAATAAAACAAACAAACTGTTTTAAAAACATTTGGCCATATGTATCAAAATGTGAAATGTGCAAACACTTTGGAACAGAAGTTTTGCTCTTGAAATTTATCCCAGAGAAATAATCACGCTTTGCATAACAATGTACGCAGACATTTGTTCATTGTGGCTTTGTAGTAAAATAAAACTGGAAATTCTGTAACTGTCCATCATTAGGAATTGACAAATAAATTAGGCTACATCCACATAATACATCTCTTAAAAATGAAATAATTCAAAGGTTTCTCAACACCACTATCCCTTTGAGGTATTTTGAAGGGTAGGGAATTCCTCAGTTCCTTTAACCAAATTTTGTTTTGAGGGAAAAGTTACTCTAGGCTTGTGTGATCCACAATGAATGGATGTTAAAATTCCTCCTGTCTCATGACGTGGCAAAGTGAAATCCTATGTTGGTGCATTGCAAATCTCCATGTATTAATGTTGTAAGGACAGAATTAGACTCTCAGCATTAGTCTCCTTCACAACCTCAGTGTCCTCGTAGGTGAGGTGGTTATGGAAGTCATTTTGGTTATTCTAAGTATAATAAAGACTTCTACATGGTCTTTATGTTTTCAAGATTTTCTTTATTTATTTTTAGAGAGAGGGGAAGAAAGGGAGAAAGACAGGGAGAGCAATGTCAATGTGTGGTTGCCTTTCGCGTGCCCCCTCCTGGGGACCTGGCCCACAACCCAGGCATGTGCTCTGACTGGGAATCGAACCAGGCACCCTTTAGTTCGCAGGCCAGTGTTCAATCCACTGAGCCACACCAGCCAGGGCACAGTTATTCTAAGTTTTTAAAGCAACTTATTGTTCAAAGCGTATATATGTTGCTTCAGAAGAAAGACGTCATTTAAACTAACTCAAGAACTATTCTTCTCCTTTCAGGTATATGTAAACTGATAAACAATGGCTCATATATAGCAGCTTTTCCTCCACATGAGGTAATTTTGAAATACAATTTTCATTACAAAAAAATTAAGGTCTCATGCTCAATGCTTGATCCCTTTTTCTTTTTTTAATCTAAATCTGGCTCCCCTCTCTCAAGAAGGTTCAATCAGCAACCAGCCCTGGGCTTTCCCAAGGCCCCCACAACATTTGGTGGCTGCACGCTACTGGCTCCTCTGCTCTAGCGCCCTCTTGCATTTGCCCGCTTCAGGAAGCCCAGCCTCGGAGGGAACTCCTGCGCATGCTCAGCCACCCTGGCTGATGCCTCCGCTCCAGCACAGAGTTCCATGGTGGCACACCTTTCCCAAAGGGCGGGGTCCTAGTGTGCGCCTACTGCACGGGGCTCCCTGAAAACCAAACCCACGGAACACCTACAGCCCGCTCTGTACTTGATTCTCTGCCTGATTTTACCTCTCTTCCAGTTTTAACTAGAAAAGCTTGCTCTAAGCTGTGGTGGGCTCTGCCTACTGAGTCATGAATTAAATTTGAATCAGTTTTAATCCCATCATGCCCCCCATACACACACAATGCATTCATTTTAAGGCAACTCTGAATTTTAATATAAGAATAGAGTCATTAAAATGTCATTTCTGCACTTTCAAAACTGGCCATTCTTCTATTTATTAAGGCTGAGGACTCTCAGGATATAATTCTTTTACTGGTGGAATTCACAGTATAGTACAACCCATGACAGATAACATGTGTTGAGCACTTACTCTTTGGCCTTGAGCTAAATGTTTTATATGGTTTATCTCATTTAATCTTTGCAAAAAACTCTTTGAAATAGACAGTGGTATAAACCTCATTTTATGAATAAGTCATTGAGGCATAGAAACGTAAAGTATCAAAAGTACAGTTTTGAGCCCTGGAAGCCAGACTCCAGTTTCTCTCAGTGATGGTGAAGTCTTATTAACAGACCTTAGGTTCCAAACAGTAGAGTCTAGTGTACTTTAGGTAAGAGGAATCCCATTGGTTTAAAAAGGAATTGAAGAAAGGATTTTTAAGGAACTATCAGAATATGTTCAATGAATGAGAGATATATAAAGACATCATCATTCCAGAGAGGAGCTTAAGTTTACAATTTCTGAAGCTTTCAATAAATTTTTTAATTATTCTTTAAGAATAAAAGCAATTCTTATTTAGTTCAAATTTTAGTAAAAGAATGATATCGATTTATCTTACTATATCTGTTTCAGGGAGCCTACAAGAGTAGCCATCCCATCAAAACTCATGGACCTCAGAATAACAGGCATCTATTATATGAGCGCTGGGCACGCTGGGGAATGTGGTACAAGCATCAGCCCCTGGATTTAATCAGGTACTGCAGATGGATCGATAATGGAAGACATATGCTGTTTTGTTGTCATTTTCTTAGATTTGGAAATATTTCATTTCCTCATCAAATTACCTGTATCAGGATGCAATCAGGAAAAAATAAACCACTATGAATCTTTTCAATAAAAGGAATTTAATTAAGGAAACTGTTTGCACAGGGGATAGGAAAGCTGAGAAATCAAACAGGAATAATGAGACAACTCAAGATTAACAACAGAGGAAACTGCTAACCAAACTAAAGCTCAAGGGAAAATTAAATAAAATATATTTCAGTGCCCAATACCTGGACTATGAAATTCATGATCAGACTACCTGCAAGAAGGGAAAGTAGGGAGTAGAGCTATGGATAAACAAGGACTATCTTGAGGACAACGAAGGGAGGAGAAAAGATCCTGTCTTCTCCTCTCCTTCCTCCCTCCCTCCCTCCCTTTCTGCCTCCTTCCTTCCCTCTCTTCTTCCTTCCTTCTTTCCTTCCTTCCTTCCTTCCTTCCTTCCTTCCTTCCTCCCTCCCTCCCTCCCTCCCTTGAGTCTCCAAGTACCTCCTGGGCCCACTTAACCAGAAGCAACTTATAAAGGAACCTGTGTAATCTACTTTTTTGTGAAAACCAATCAAAACAGGGAAAGGCAGAAAAGGGATTTGAGAGCAAAGAGAAAAATGACCAACAAAGCATCTATGCGTATATTTATCTTTCAACAAAGATTTAGTGAGTATCTGTTTGAGTCAAAGTATTAGTATAAAAAAATATTTGAATCTGAAAAGAGCACATTTTAAATCTTGTCAGCTATAAAACCCACTTAACAAAATAGTTGTGTGGCATTTTTCAAAAGATTTTACACTAGGCCTCTGAGAGATTTAAGTGTAAAAATTAAATGAAATAATTCTCTCTAAAAACTGTTCATCATTTGTTTATTTATAGATGAAGTTATTTCAGCAGCAGAATCCTATCATCAAATGATATGTCACATGAGAAAGCAGTATAAAAAATACAGAAATAGAACGGCTGTGGGCGAAGTGTGATGGGGAGGGGCACCCGTGGCCACCCTGTGTTCATCCTTGCCCTGTCGTGGTTTCAGCCACCTTTAAGGAACACTTGGATGGCCTGGGAGACAGTCAATACCCGTGCTCTGGCCCAGGGGTTTTCATCAGCCTTCTTTGCCTGAAACTGTCTCTTTCCTCTCCTGAAACAGATCTGAAATCGGATGTAACTCAGGTGGTTATAATCCTCTCAGATAATATTTCCAACTCCTCTTTCTTAACCTTTAACAAGGAGTAATTTAAAATCTCAGCATACTAATTTGTGTAAGGGGTCTATGTGTAGTTTTCTATAATTATTCTAAAACTATCCTATTAATATGTGCTAAAAAATAACTCCAACCTTTAGAGGAACACCTGTTTAAAAGCACAAAGCCTTTGCTGCAACACCTGTTATTAAAACAATCTTCTGTTTCAAAGTAGAACATTATCATTGTATAAAAAATGAGTAGACTAGTGATGCGTGTCTCCTGAGAGAAATAAATTTTAAAAAATTAGACAAATGATGCTTAATGGCTTTATGTCTACCCCTGGTAGAATTTACACAAATAATACAGAAAATAAAGTGGAAAAAATAATAATTTTCAGAAAGAGAAGTCTTGTTAAGGAAAAATATAACATGAGAATTTTCTTCCCAGCAAGAATTACTGCCCAGTGCAAAATTCCCAAATGAGCTATAAAACACCAGTCTTTAAAACTATTGCTGGGACAAAACTGTGTGTTAAGTTGCCATTTTTAGCAAATGGAGACTAAACAGTAGTGGAGAATTCAAGAAGTTATATCATCTTATACCAGAGCTTAATGAACAGTGTGACAGTTAATATTGCCAGGAGACTTGGTGAAGAAAAAGTGGTTGAGTAGTTTTTTCAATCACCTTCTTCTGCCATTTCCTTGTAGACTGTATTCATCAGCTGAAGGGAAATAAAATGCATTTGATTCCCTTAGCTTCATTTGATATTTCCTGTGGTGGGAGCTAGTAGAACAAGACATAGTCCACTTCTCAGCAGCCAGAGTCATGGGGAGGGAGAGAGGAATGGAGAAGTGCCAGGTAACTGCCACAAAGTGTGTGAATTTAGGTCACTGAAGCTTGGGTGAGGACAGGACATCTAATCCATGGTTGTAATGGGAGTCAGGAAAGGCTTCCTGGAAGAAGCGGTACAAAGTGAAGGATAAATAAAAGCCAGACACAGGAAGAAAATGAAATGTATTATTCCAAAGCATGAACCGAATAAAGAATCATGTGCTCCAGGAACTGCAGGGTTGAACTTTGTTGAGGAAGATGTGACATAATTGTGCAGATTTGTCTACTGTAAAGTGTCTGTGTAATTTTGCATATGGAGACTGAAATCGAATCAGCTTTCCCCACCCACCTGGAGAGGACGCTTTTTTCTATTCATGCAAAAACAACATGGTATAGCACAGCTCTGTGTGGAGACCAAAAAAGCGTTTCTACTAGGAAGGTGGAGAAAAGCAAGAATTAACTGGTAAAAAGCTTGATGGACAATATTAAGAAGTTTGACACAAATAAACACATTTTAGCAAATTGTTCCTATAAGGACAAGTTTAAAGACAAACAATGTCACCATTATTAAAATTATTAAGAACCATGAACTTTAAGATAACCCAGACAGAGCGTCCAAGGGACCGAGCTGGTCGCCTCAAGTGTCCATCTGAAGTTCTGACCAGGTGTAACATCAGTATTTGTAGTGTTACTTATGTTGCTTTAAGCTAACAGTTTGCTTTCTCATGCAGGCTGTATTTTGGTGAGAAGATTGGGCTGTACTTTGCTTGGCTGGGATGGTATACTGGAATGCTGATTCCGGCAGCACTGGTTGGCTTGTGTGTTTTCTTCTATGGAATATTTACAATGAATGCAAGTCAAGTAAGGTAAGCTTATTAACAGACTTATTGAAAATCGTTGGTCTTTCTTCTGATTAGACAAAAGCTTTATTGAACACAGACTTATTGAAAATTGTTGGTCTTTCTTCTGATTAGACAAAAGCTTTATGATAATGCTAAGTATAAAAAACAGGTGATGATACTACAATTTATTTGCTGTTTTTTGTGGATTTTTTTGTAGGGGAGCATTATAATAAAAAAGATAATTTTTCTACTATCATGTGCAAATTCTTTTGCATAAGTTCCAAAATTGTTCCTGTTTATGCCAAATTTATCTTTCTAGTTTATGCTGCATAGTAATTTAATAATTTAATAGACAGTTTTATATAGTTTACATTTGCACAGCATTCGGTAGTCTAGAATGCCCTCTCAATATATCAATTCAAATAATTATATAGCTACTGTTCTTTAACATTTACAATATACAGAGACCTTCCAGATATGCTGTTTCATTTACTATATATAACCTCTACTATATCACCCTTGGCGGTGAGTACTCCTTTTTGTTGATGTGGGAACCTTACACAGTTAAAGATGTCTAAACAAAATATTCATCCCACATAAACCTTGCTCTAAGTAATCTACTCTCCTGAGAACAGAAAAGCACTCTCTACTTTCTTCTTACTCTCGATAGCAACAGATACTGTAAAAAAAATCTTGCATCAACTTTAGATATCAAGATAGTGGTGAAATAAGGTTCAACAAAAATCACACATTTATCAGAATAGTGATTTTTCTGTTAAAGAAGAAGTGACTCAAGACTTCGATATAGGAACAATAATATATTGTTTTTCAGCAGTGGCAACAGTAAAGACTCAACCTGACACTAAAGACTCTTAAAAGCATGACCTATTTCATATATCTCAAGAATATCATTAAGTTCAACCTTCTATGATACACAATTCAAAATATGAAAAAACACCTCTCCTGTTCTTCAAAGCTCAGCACTTCTTTCCCTTTGTTCCAACTTTGAACCATGGCTTTGCCACTGGGTAATAATTGGGGCAGCTAATGGGATCGTGAATATGCATTTTCTTGAATTTTAAAAAATATGTATCCATACGCATATGTTTGTATTTGTGTGTATATGTATGTAACAGGTTTTCCTAAAAAGAAAGTACTTTTCTTCTCCTAGAAATGAATTCTGCCCCATAAGCAACTGCTTTGATTTGGTATCTCAGCATGAAGTTCAAAGAAAACACCTACTGTTCAAAAGCACTTCATGCAGTCCCTGGTTTGCTTCAGACTTTGGCTAAGCCACTTACCACTCTGGAAGGCAGCATCTTCTTGTTCTTCAGTTTATTTAATCAGTGTCTTACAGTTTTTGGTGTATAGATCTTTTGCCTCCAGGTTCAATTTATTCCTAAGTATTTTATTCTTTTTATATAATTGTAAATGGGATTGTCTTCTTAGTTTCTCTTTTTGATTGTTGTTGGTGTATAGAAATGCAACCAACATTTGTATATTGATTTTACTGAATGGGTTTATAAGTTCTAAGGGGTTTTGGGTTTTGTTTTTTTTTTTTTTGGTGGAGTCTTTATGGTGTTAGAAAAACACTCCTTTAAAATTTGCCCTGTCTGGTGTGGCTCCGGGGATTGAGTCCCTGCCTGCAAACCGGAAGGTCACCAGTTGGATTCAGGGCACATTTCTCCATTGCCGGCCAGGTTCCCAATTGGGGGCATGTGAGACTCAACCAATAGATGCATTTCTTGCACATCAAAGTTTCTTTCCCTCTCATTCTCCCTCCCTTCCCCCTCTCTAAAAATAAATATATTTTAATAATAAAAATAAATAAAATGAATTAACACAGGCAGAAAATGATTCTTAGTTAGCTACTGTTCAACTTGGTTCCATGGATACATATTCACAAGGTTTTACCACATTGTGTAGACTCCCCCTCCACCCCTACAAAGCTGAAAGTGAACAAAAGGTAATGAAAGGAATAGATTGGCTGTTCCTATTGATTTATGTACCAATGGAGTAAATTAGGCTCCTTTTGTATGAGTTGGTATTCTCTAACCTTTAATATGAGTGTTTCAAAAGGCTTTAGCAAACCCTTTGCTTCAGTGCTTTTTGGTATTATATTTCTGTTACTTCTGTCACGCTATAATTAAGATCTTGTCAGACTTTCTATTCTAAATCAAGATAAGCTTAACCGAATATCTTGACTGTCAAAACTTTATGGAGCTGAAATTTTCCATTCAAGGTGTCAGACGTGAAGTTGTAGGTGTTATCATGGTGGGTTGGGGGAGAACACAGAGCTTTTCTTTTGTGTTGCTTTGTTTCAGTATGATTTTAAGCTCTTTTTGTTTCCTGTAAAGAAACAAAATGTTAAAAAGCTGGATTAGATTGTATTTATTATGCTTCTACCAGCTTTGTTCACATAAGTTAAAGCTATATTTCTTAATTTCCCCGCAGTTAATTGTAGAATTATGTAACAATCAAGTTGTAGATTATTTATTATATCTGTAAGTACACATATATTTACATGTGTTCATTGGTTTTACAAAACCAAAGGTGGTCAGATTTATGGCTGGGAAAGGACATATCATAGGAATATAAAAATGAACCAGCAGGTAGATATCGCCTGCTTCTCAGACCCTGAGTTTCAGATTTAGAGCAAAGAAGAGAAACCCCAACTTTCTAGTCCATCCTTTCTTCTTTGGTATTAGATTCACCAAAGAATTTATGTGGTCCTTAATAATGACCACCTTTCAAAAGCAGTTGGGTCCTAAAGAACTTCTAGACCCTCTCCTGACAGCACCCTTAGCAACAAGAGTTTCTTTCAGTCACTAACTGTCTGTGATGTGTCAGGCGCATTATCAATACCCCTTATGTAATATCCCAACTAGATGTCATATCCGACTAGAGATAAAGAAATTGATCCTCGGAAAGATAAGTGACTCGGTCAGGGGACTATATCTAGTAAATGGTCAGCTAAGTTTCAAATCACTATCTAATATATTTTTTAAATTGTGGTAAGAACACTTAACATGAGATCTACCCTCTTTAAAAATGTTTAAGCAAACACTACGATATTGTTAACTATAGGCACTACATTGGAAAGCAGATTTTTAGAACTTATTTATCTTGCACAACTGAAACTTTACACCTCTGGAACAGCAGCTCCCATTTCCCTCTCCCCTAACCCTGGCAAACTAGTCTGCTCTGTTCCCATGAGTGTGACTGTTTTAGGTGCCTCACGTAAGCGGAATCCTGCAGTATTTGTCCAGCTACTGGTTTATTTCACTTCATATAATATCCTCCAGTTCATCTCTGCTGTTGCCCATGGCAGGACTTCCTCCTTCTCAAGGCTGAATAATATTTCACTGTATATTTATACAACATTTTTTATCTCTTTATCTATCGATGGATATTTGGGTTATTTACATATTTTGGCTGTTGTAAATAATGCTGCAGTGAACATGGGAGTGTAGATATCTCTCCAAGATTCTGATTTCAATTCTATTAGATATATACCCAGAAGTGGGATTATTTAATTACATGGTCGTTTTTTTTTTTTTAAGTTTTTGAGAAAAGTCCATATTGTTTTCCATAGTGGTTGTATCATTGCACCAACAATGTACAAGTGTTTCAAATTCTCCACATCCTTGCCAACACTTGCCATCTTTTGTCTTTTTGTTTGACAATAGCAATCTTAACAGGTATGAGCTAATACCTCATGATTCAGTTTGCTTTTCCCTGATGATTTTATCTGACTCTAAAGTCCATCCTTACTCATGCTTCCATACTGCCTTCTTTGAAATCTACTTAAATATTTTCACAATTTCCCAAACGGGACATCACCAAGCATCTCTGTGAGGTGTCACAGAAAGCCTGAGACCCTGGAGCAGGTCCAGACCTCCGCCCCCACCTTGATGAATCGCTCTCTCCACCCATTATCTTAAGTGCTGGGAATTATTATTTCCTTTGAGTCAGCCCTTACTGTGTATACCTGACAGTAGATGTAAAACAAAAGAAAGCCACAGGTGAAGTCGTGGTTTATATTCTTCGCCTAAGCAGAAGTTAAGAAAACACTCATGCTGAGCTCTCTTTCTCCCTCTAGTGGTGAAGTAAAATGAAGAAATTTCTGATGCTCTCAAATCCCTCATTTCAGGCTAAAAAACACATGATCAAAAGTTGTTTAATATTTTTATTATGTATTGTTTCACTTTGAGCAAATTACAGAAAGTGAGTTTAATTATTCTGGAATTAAAAATAGGATTCAGCCTGATGGCTGGGATTCTAGACTTGATGTTTTGTTTGACCATTTGGAAAATGAAGAAGATGATACAGTGTAAACTGATTGGATAATACAGTTAGTATGAGATTTCAATGCAGGATCCATTGTGTCATTCTTAAAACACAATGAATTATGATAGCAATGCCATTTTAATCAGAATGTCCTTCAAGAAGTATATTAATTCTTCTTGTTTGTAAAAATTAGTATTATTACTAAGAGAAGATACAATTCTCTCTTTCTTAGGGATTTTTAAATGGTGTGTTTTACTTGTTTCCTCCTGCTTCTTATAGACATCCTGATTACTAGAAATATGGTGTATGTGAAAATGGGAGGGTGACAGTATATGTGAGACTCATTACATCACCATCATTAATAAGTTAGTTTTGGGTAGGAAAGTTTTTTAAATATAAAACAAATGTATCTTTCTTTTAGATACATTATAGTTGATAAGGAACTGGACCCAGAATAAGAAAAACCTAAATTCAGTTCCCAAAAGTACCTACTGTTAGCTATGTGATTTTGAGCAACTCACTTAGATGAAACATCTGTGTGCTCTATGTTGTGGAAGTAACTCCCCTTGCAGGGGATGATTACAGTGAGTACTGAATTTAATGAACGGGAACTCATCTTTGCTCATTGTAAAGCACTGTGTATGACTATAGAGTATTCTTACTTGCTATTATTACTACTATGGCTTGAGGATATGCACATCCAGCGCCTGAAATGCACATGAATTCTGTTTCTGCTTCATTTGAGTGCAGACATTTTAGAAAACTGCAATTCTTGCTGCAAACGCCACCAATTAAACTATTATTTTCAGACATATTTTCAGAAGCCTTGGAATTTCTTTCAACATTTCCAGAGCAGATTTACTTAAAGACAACTTATTCAGGGGATACTCAGTGGAGAAGAACAATGTATGACAGATAAAACACAAAACATCTTGAATATAGGTTGTTGTAAATTCTCAGGCTGTGAGGCTTTTGAGAAGTTGTTATTGATACCCTGCTCCTTTCGCAAAGTCACCTATAATATATACTTAGATGTTTTGAAAGGTAGAAGCATAAAACTGAAGAGACATATTATAAAGTTACATTCTAATGAAGAATATATTTCAGTAAATAAAATCTATGTCATGTCAGCACAAAAGTGTGTGTCAAGGTACCACAAAAAATAAAAGGAAAGGGAAGGAAAGAAGGAAGGATCGGCTTCCTCGGATTTCCAATGGACATGATACACTGACTTCCTGCAGTGGGGGTTATGAAATTGTGTGAATTATGGATTCTGTTTATCTTGCTGATACTAAGGCAGCAAGATTCAGAGAAAAGGGCAATAAATTTGAGAAATCAGAATAGTCAGATGTGATTCCAGGTCAGCCACTTCCAAGCCTGTGGGCTTGGTTAAAATCCCCTGGGTGTGAAAGTATCTTCATAACAAAACCCCACGGGTCTCTGAAGTATAAAATATGGCCTATGGCCATTACCTTCTCTAGACAGAGATTTCTCAAAACAAAGAAGCAGACAGAAATCTCTGTGTCACAAATATCCTAAAAATTCAAGTTGGAACCCTGTCTCATCCTTTGTGGCTCAGTTGGTTGTTCCATGCACCAGAAGGTTGCGAGTTCTGTTTCCAGTCAGGGCACAGACCTAAGTTGCGAGTTTGTCAAAGCACATGCAGGAAGTAGCTGATTGATGTTTCTGTCTCACATCAGTGTGTGTGTGTGTCTCTCTCTCTTTCTCTCCCCCCTTTCCTCTCTCTTCCCTCCCCCTCTCCCCTCTCTCTCAAAAATCATTTAATGGATATTTTTTTATTCAAAAAAAAATCCACAGTCTTAAGTTCTTCTTCATCTGTCTACCATGCCCTGTTATTTCCATTTCTTCTTTTCTTCTGTCTTGCTGCCGCCCACAGGATTGACCGTAGGAGCTAAGCACCTTCCTAAACATGAAGGCTTACGCTTTCTTTTTTCTTATTTGATTTCTCAAGCCAAGAAATTTGCAAGTCTACTGAGGTGTTCATGTGCCCTCTCTGTGACAAGAACTGCTCACTACAGAGACTCAACGATAGCTGTATCTATGCCAAGGTGAGTGTGGCCCCTCACATTCTCCTTACTGAGCTCTAGATAGTAAAAAGGACTCCAGTATATTGCTTTTTACCAAAGTTAAATGTTCCCAATAGTTTCAACAACCTATATCATTGGCAACGGAACAAGATGTCACTCCACGACAATTACAAAATGAGCATACTTTTATTTGAACGTCGTTGGCTTCCTTTGTTTTTTATAAATTGATTACTGCTATCATAGACAAAAAGTGTTTCTGGGAGTGGTGTCTAGATTCTTTTTCAGAAAAGGTGATTATTTTTATTGGTAATGATTACAGTTGAATTTTCCATGAAGGCTCTTGAAATTAAAATACTTCTAATTTTACAGAAAAAATGAAATGACATACCAAAAGTTCTCAAATTACTTCCTTTTAGAATGACCTGAAGGTTTTTTAAAACTCCTGAAACCCAAGTAATCCCCAGAACAATTAAATAGGGATCTTTGGGTTTGAAACCTAGACATCAGCACTTTTTAAAACTTCCCAGATGATTCTAACATGCATATGAGTTTGAGAAATTAAACTTCACAATTAGTGTTGTTTATTTATAAAATGGTATTAAATTATCATTAACATGTAATAAAATGTACATATTTGTAGTGTATAAATTGGTACATTTTGATTAGATATATGCACCAGTGAAATCATTACTACAATCAAGATAATGAACATATCCATCACTTCCAAAAGCTTCTTCACACAGTCTTGTTTATAATCCCTGCCTCCCAGCCTGCCTACTCCACCACTGTACTCAGGCGACCAACTGCTTTCTGTCATTATAGATATGTTTGTATTCTCTAGACTTTTATGTAGATGGAAACCTTCAGTGTGTGATTTTTTTTCTGGCTTCTTTCACACATCTTAGTCATTTGGAGAGTCATCCATGTTGTAATATTTACCAGCAGATTATTCTTCTTTACTGCTGAGTAGTATTGCATTATATGGCCATACCAGAGTGGGTTTATCCATTCATCTATTAATGGATTTTGGGATTGTTTCAAGTCACTATCATTTTAAATAAAGATGCTATGAACTTTCACCTACAAGTCTTCCTAGAGATAAGTACTGTTTTTTCTCTTGGGTAAATACTTAGAAGAAAAGTAGATGGATTATCTGGTAGGTGGATATTCAACTCTCTAAAAACTGCCTAATGATCTTCCAAAGTGTTTATACCATTTTACATTTTTGCCAGCAGTGTCTGAGAATTCCAATTTTCTATATAGCCACTAACCCTTAAGATGTTCAGACTTTTTAACTCTTCTCATTGTAGTTTAATTACCGGAAAATAATTTGATCTTTTGGGGTCTTGATTTTAAGATCTGTGACATGGGCTCACAGCAGTGCTCTACCTAACACTATGTCCTCAATAAAAGCAAGATCTTTCTTTGTACCCTACTCAATGCACTATGAATAATATGGACTTGCAGTCTGGCCATGGGAATAAGCACTGTTCTTGTCTCTGAGTTCCCGCCACTGTTACCTCTAATCCTTTCAGAAGTTTCTTTCCTTGTAGTTTCCTCTCATACATGTTCGCTGGGCACTCTCTGGATGGCCCCTCTCTGCACTCTACTAACTCTTTCAGTGCAGGAACCTGAGGCAATCATAATACTCACTCCATTTGTTCTCTGCTTCTCCAGGATCATCAGCGTTCATTGCTTAACATCTGCTATCTTGGAATCTGTTGCTTATACATTTGGTGCATTCTTTGGTTATTTCCAGAATGGGGATAAAATTAGTCATTGCTCTTCCATCTTGTTCAGAAGTAAAAGTCTCTATACAATTAATTTTGACAAGGCTGGATATAAAATCAGGAGACCCTTAATATTCTACTACAACACCAAACTTGGTGAAATTAGCTTCTGAATTATATCTTGAGTGTGTAGCATGGAAAAAGTCTGTTTTCTTTATAATTTCACTTCTAACATACACTTAGTTTTGAATGAGTTCAAATGTTCCACACTGATATCTCACTTTAGGAAGCATTTTCTCCACAGTTTTTGTAAAAGCCAGGTGTATTAGAGTTTTTAGATGTATATACACATGTTCCTCTCCCAGCCTGTGCATTTCAAAGACATGACTGCCTTAGGGACACCAACAAATTCATGCATATGTTACTCCTGCCTTCACTCGAACAGATCTAATGAAACACACTGGCATTATCTGAAGACTAAATATCCATATAAGAAACATCGACATATGGCAGAGTGAGAAAGTGAGGAAACTGTCCAAAACCAGGAGGCTTTTGTCATCACGCATTATCTACATTCCTCCTTTCCTTGGTAGAAAAGAGTATGTTTAGGTACAGTTATGACTCACGTCGTATGAATATTTCACGTGTACCGTACTGTATCTCATGGATGTATTTCTCAAAACTTAATGCTTCAATTTGTTGAGTTAAAAAAAATAGCTGAGATGTGTGACCAAACTGATCAAGAAAACAATGAAAAGCTTTTTTAAGGAAAATATTGCATAAACTATGATAAATCGTGTCCTTGCAACCCAAGTGTTGTGAAGTGTGGCTTTTTTATTTGCCACTTCTTTAAAAGCATGACTGATTCTGGGACAGGCTGCTTTTTCTTAGTACGTTTTTAGTCCCCATTGTAAAGTCTCTGCTGGAGACTCTCAGAGGCCATTCCCCCGCAGCAGGCCGTTTCGAAAGGAAAGCAGACAGCTGTTGAGTTGGTGGTGGCAACAGGTGTCTCTGCGGGATGCCTCTGGATTCCCCCGGGGGGTGTAATTTTATGAGCTCTGTAGGAGAGTTTCTTCATGATTTTTTTCTCTCCTATACATAATATAGACTAATGATCTACTTATGATTGTTAGGAAAACCCATTTTTTTTTTAACATTTTTAGAAATCCCAAGCCTTGACAATCATGGAAGCTTAGAGCCATATCGGACATCTCACACCTATCCACAAACCATCAAAATGTGCCCATCTTTTGTACAATGATATTTTCAGTGATGCTACATTATAGGAAAATACATCCTACCTTTATCTGCTTGATATTTTGTTTGCAGTGTGTTTTAGGTACTATAGTCAAAATGCACATTTACTCCCCCCATTGAGCAGCCCCTGAACTGTAGACTGAGCAAAGAAGAAACTGTTTTACTCCCAGTTCCCTTTTAATAATGTTCTTTCTGTTTTGTCCCTAACTGACTTCTCTCTCCAGTGAGGTTAGTGCCCCTATTTTCTCTATAGTGTTTATGGTTTGTATTTGACTGCCAGACACTGCATCTATTTAATCTCACTCACTAACTTATACATATGGTGAGGGATTTATGCAAATGAAGAGAAGCAAAGGTAAATTAAATTTACACTTTATTAAAATCAAACAGCTCTTGCAACCCTGAAAATTGTATTCAGTAACATCATATAACTGTACATTATTCTTTATAAAATTTCAGGTAATGTCTCATTCAAAAATACTTGCACTATATCCTACATGTCAATGATTTATGAAACTTCTGAAAAACAACTTAAGATGAAATTCATTGCACCTTATAGCCTCTCTGTGGCCATGGTCAATTCTGAGACTTCAGAGAGTAGGGATAGCACGGTGATACGGTGCCATTGGAAGTCTGCCTCACTAGTGGAAATCTGCATTTTGCAGCTTCCCCAATCTCGGATGTTTTGCTAACAAGAAGTACAACTAGGTATGCTTCAACTGGGAAGCTGACTTCTTACAGTTCACACAGTAGCTTGACTTTCTGTGGCCCACAACAACTTCAAAGTGCTAGAACCATTCCTAAGTAGAAATGAGGATGGGTCCAAAGGGAATAAAAGGGAGGAGAGAAGAAAAAGGAGGAAATGCTCATCCTTTATCTCTCTCCATGAGAAAATCACATGAAACAGTTGCAGGATTCATGAAATGATCTCATACCTTATATTTACAAACTATAAAATAATGTGATTACATTGGAAAAAAATATAGGACCAAAATGCTGGATTATAATTAACCAACAGTGTGACTCATAGTTTTGTTTGTTTTCCATTAAGGTGACATATTTGTTTGATAATGGAGGGACAGTCTTCTTTGCTATTTTTATGGCAATATGGGGTAAGTATGTTCTTCCATTACTTACTTCCTACCCTTCATTTTCTGAGGCTGTTGCTGTGTTTCTTCATATACACACATGTGCAGACACACACACACATACACCCCCATGTATCAATTCAACACACACACACACACACACACACACACACACACACACACACACACCCCCATGTATCAATTCAACAAAAACTCTTGCTTTTTGCCCTCTTCACACCTTCACTGCTTCTTTGGGAATTTATCTCTTGATGTAACCCTCTAATTTCTATAGCCTGGGATCTTCCTATACTAAAGTGTATTTTTTTTCCTTCCAAAAGCAGACAGTAATTAAAAACAAATACTCTAGAATCCAGGTTGAGCTTCTTGTATACCCTTTCTTGAAACTGATGCTCAGAAAAGTTTTTGTTTGCTTAACATTTCCACTTATCTATTTTTACCATACTCTTCATATATTTACAGATGCAGAATCTTTTCCCTGTATGATTGATCAGTAATGTCTAATACATAATAAATTCTGTCCCTATGTAACATCATAAAACTGTAAAAATTATGTACAGGTACATGCTTTGGTTGGCTTTTGTTACCATGTTTCTCACTGAATTTTTAAAGTACCCAATTAATGAAGGCATGAAGTAAATCAGACAAGTCTGAACACCCCATCCTTTGAAGAAAAGCAGTTCCTTCCCTGGTTAGGGTCTGTTCTTCTAACATAGCCCTGTTGAATGCAAAGTCATTGTCAACTTGGCAGCTCAAAGGACAGACCATATATGTGCTGATACAGGAAAGTAAACTGTACTGAAAGACAGGTCTCTCACTCCTTTTACCTAAATTTCCCAGAAAGAGAAGTTCTGTGCCATACAGTTTTTCTAGCTTTAAGTAATGTTTGTTTTTTTTAATTTACTTCCAATGTTCCTTCAACAAATGTCAACAGTGATGCATGTCGTTAGCATAACAGGGGAAGCAGGCAAGAGTCCATCCATTGATTTTTGTCCAAAAATAAAAACATAGTAAAAATGTAGTTTAGGGTCTTCATTTTCACTGAAGGCTTTTTAAAATTAAATTATCAAGTAGGGCAATCGAGGTGAAATCTTTTAAGTCTTACCTGAATCCACGAACATTTCGTATTAAGAAAAAAATAGACCAAAATACAAATTAAGGTTACTCAATAGATGCTTCAGTACAAGCAAGAAAGGAAACCTTTCCGATGATTCATCCTCTCTTTCTTTTTCTGCTACTAGTCTCAGGCTTTTATAGTTCTTGGCACAAGCCACATGACAGTGATCTCGCTTCAGCTTTTGGAAGATGGGTCGGTGCAAGTCCAGGATGTAGGTAAACACTTGCCTTCTGAAGCCTTTTTTCCCCTTAGTCTTATACTGAGGTACGAATGGGAGGTATGTCATCCATAGGAATGCCATCGCGTGCATTTTCTTGACCTGCTGGCACGGATGAATCATTCACAGTTTGGTTGTAATAACTAGCATTCCCAAAACTCACATCATAAGGTTCCGGTGCATTGTCTAATCGCAGAACTAAAAAAGTAACCAAAAAAAAGGTGTTTTGTGGTGACAGAGTGAAAGATCCATGCGCACTCAGGTACCTGCCGCACCTCAGGAACCATTCTAGGTCAGTAAATCTGTCTAACCTTTACATGGGCTTTGCAGATACTAGTTTTGAAATTCTAAATAAATAGATATTTTTAAGCCACACTGCTTTCTAAGACCAAGAGAACAGTTTAACCTCCCAAATTTTCCTGCTGGAGGACCAAAACTAAAGGAACTAAGGGAGAAATCACAACAAAAGTGGGGTGATACTTTGTATAAAGAAGTATAAACAAATGTCTTACTGACTTGTATCTTGTGATTTCAGAGACTTGTCAGTATGTTTAGGATTTTTACCTCTGGTATAAAAAATAGTTTTTAAAAAATATAGAGCATTAATTTTAAAATCAGTGTCATTACTCTACCAAGTGACTTCAGGTAGTTAAGCCATTAAATATGGAGATGGAAAAAAAACTATTTGTAAAATGTATATTTCCTGCTGATAGATCCAATCTATCATGTGTTTGAGATTTCATGACTTATGATAAAGAATTTTTCTTTCTTTTTCAACAGTCAATTATCATTTCCTTAATGAACTTGAACTTATATTGAAAGAAAACTTGGTGTGCAGGAGGTGGTTTTAAATATTAAAGCAGTGACTAATTGCTAAGCAGATTAGTAACCTAATTGTGCACTGAGTATTTTTATATCCTATCATTTTCCTGAGTCATCTCTTTACAAACTAGTCTCCCAGGAACCTTAGGGATTTGGGGGTGTTCCTAATCTGTCTTGAAGGAGTAAATTAGATGGTGTGAATGAGTTGTTTTCTTATGCCTCAAACACATGTTAAATTATATTAATAGACTAGGCTTTTGTATGTGATTACAGACAAAGAAAAAATCCCGAAGTTTAAAAAAAAAATTGAAAACCTTTGTTGTTAGAAATTCTATCCTTTAATTTTGAAAAATTCCACTTTTTACTTTTTATGAATTGCTAGAAACCCATAGACAGAAATCAGTTAAGCTCACAAGTAGTGGATTTGGTTCTGAAAAAGAGCCTATGTCAGTCATGGTCTGAAGTTATCATGGTCTGAAGCTGAGTGAAAATCAACAAGACTTTACCAATGGAACCTACCAGGGTCACTTAACTAATTTTTTTTTTTATGATAGCAAGAATCCTTTGTGAAAACCAGTAAACAATGAGAAGAGTCAAGTATTTATGATTTCATTTGTGTTCTAAACATTGAATTGTTGAGATCAAACTCTGTGCTTAATTCTTAGCAGTCACATTTTTTTTATTCATAGATGTTATGGTTCTTTTTCATCATATGAATGAGAAAATCTTGAATTAAGGTAAATTGTGACTCTCTGTAGCCAAATATACAACTTTTAGAAAACATGTTTAAGAGACTCAAAAAATAATTAGTATGGGCCTACTGTATCTGTAAGACTTGTGAAGAGTTTCTAATTACAATATGTCTTTGCTCAAATTACTGCTAATAAAAAAATCGGGCAATGCTAATAAAATTGGCCATATTTTTCTCAATATCATAATATTATCTTCCAATTTTATAAACATATTTTAGGTTCAAGGATTGTTATTTAAAACCAACTGTGATGCAATGAGCAACAGTTTCAAATACTTAAAATTTTTTTCTCACAGGTTCATACTTATTTTGTTTATGTTATTTGAGAACCAGAGAGTAGATCAGAATAAATCTTTAGTCTGTTCCTTTCATATGAATCTCTGAACCCCTCTAGATAATGTAGTGACCATTAGCAATGAACACTTAATTAAAACCACTGTGTAAAGATGAAATTCCAAAAGTCATTTTACCTGGTTCGTTTCTATCATCATAAAGTCGCCGGTGGGAGAATGAATTTGTCTTCCTTTTTCCACACAATAAGTAGCCAACAAGAGTAAGCAGTGAAGCTCCCAAAATAGCACCTAAAATGGCCCCAAATACTACTCCTGTATTTCTATTCTCTAAGGAAAAAAAAGAAAAAATAGTCTATAAACAAGAAATAAAAATAATTGTTCAAAGAACAGTTAATTTATACATATATAGATATATATATACACATACATACATACTTGTGAGCTTCCTACACATCACAAGGAATGATTAACAATGCATTTATTTATTTATTTATTTATTTATTTATTAGATAAGGATGATATTGTGTGTGTTTTATGAAGTACTGAGTATTTGGGATATATTGGCAAAATACACTTCCTGATAAAACCAAGTCCTAGTTTTTTAAGTGTCTCATTTCTTAACACCAATAGTACTGAAATGTCATGTTTGTGCTCCACTAGGATATAATTTCTGTGTTGAAAGCTATGTTGTTTTCAGTCAACCCTGGATCTCTGATGAACTTTAGTGGTGAAATGAACTTTGAGCTTGTTTCTATGATAATTTGGAAGTAAAAAACTAATAGGAGTAAGTGGGTGATAGAAAACAAATCCACAAAGCTCCAAGTAAAAAGGCAAAATGAGGAAAAAGCATATACCTAATAAGGATATTTTCAGGTAGAACAAATGACCAAAGCAAGATGCTGTCAACGCCTTGCACATAGGGAACAAATGTGTAGGTCTGAGTTTAAGAGAATCCAAAATCTCATTCTATCATTCCAATAACCAAGTAGTTATTTGAAGACTGTTATCAATATTCTACTTATTGTTCCCTCAACTCATATTTAGTGTATTTTATTTTTAATGTTTTTAAAAAAAAATTCTTGAGAAGCTTACTAATTAGGTAGGAAAAAGATTGTATAGAGTCTCTGATTCCATATGAAGCCCTATTTATTTAAAAAATTAATCTTCACACTGGAAAGTTAACAGCAAAATTATTACTGAAATGAAAGTGAAGCAAAGTTAACTTTTTTTATTAAAGGGCAAAGGTAAAAATGCTCAGTGTTCTCAATATGTATTTTGAGTTTAGAGAGACAAAAGATAGTATTTAAAAAATATTTCTAGTGGAATATTAGAGCATGTATGAATGAAATAGATGTGTTAAAATTACAGCTAAAGTGAAAATATGTGAACATACAATACATTGGTTGCAGAGCTATAGTAAAGCCTAGAATTTATAATTTAAAACCTTTTCTGTACATTTGCAACAATTTTCAAATAGGAACTTTCATATATATATATATGATTTGGTTTTACATCGTTAATATAATCTGTAAATAAGTTGTATTGGAAATTGGAGAGTTTGTAAGCAAAAAAGAGTATTTTTCTTTTAGGTTTCAGGGAAATAGAAACATGGTTAGATGTGACAAAAATAAAACAATGAATTTTCATTAAATATTAGAGATCTTTTTCAGTTTAGGTTTCAAAGCTTTATGTAATCCCTAAAAATGAAATATAAAAATGTCCCCATATACAATTATCTTATGATACAATTAAACTCCATTTTATGTTGTTCATTAGTTACTAAACTAAAAATTAAGGAAGATTTCCTTTCTTGAATTTACTATTTTACAAAAAAGTAAGTGTTTTATTTGCCTGTGATTGCAATATGGTATCAGATAACTTATAAATTTATTCAAGTTTCAAAACCAACAGTCATATATTTTTAAAGTCCATTTGTACAGTATTCCTAAAAGCATATGAAATCTCAAGTGGTCATTCTAAAATTCAGTTTAAATTGTTATACAGTACCTCAAAACGATATCACCACCTCAGTCTCTACTTCTTTTCAGCCTGACCTACTTGGCATTGTGTCCCACTGTCTCATCATGTTTCCATACAGCAGTGACAAGCACATGCTGACTTAAGTTCTAAAATTCCTTCACTATTTCCAATGACTACCATGGTTACCCCTAAAAGTGAGAACGACCTGTCGTATTGTAGCTTCCTCTGTTTTTCTAGTAGACTCATTCCTTAGTTGTAATCCATATGACTTACTTGGAGATTATTTCACACCAAAGGAAAATTAAATATGTTTATATTTACCTTCTTGGGGATCTGATGTATTTGGAAAGATTTTTGAATTATTGGTGAATTTTAAGGTGGGCTGTAGAGTCATTTCTTGATAGGGGGTAAGCCCCGCCATGCTATCACTGGTAGTGTTAAGCCTTTGGCCGGATTCTGTTGTCGTGGGATTCACCGCTGTGGTGCTTGGTGCTGAAGGGAGGACGCTAACTGCAATGGAACTGTTGTCAGTTTCCACGGTGTCATTGGCCAAAGTCCAAGGGAACTTTGGGGTGGGTAAAGCAGACGTAGTATTGGGAGGCTCGGAGAGGGACAGAGGATTTTCATCTGTTACTGAAGAGTTCTGAGGCAATTTAGAAACAACGCTGTGGATCAAGGGAGGGCTTTCAGAAAATGGGGGCGTGGTTCTTGGACTCCAGGAAAAGTCTGTGGTCAAATTACCGACAGAATCTGTTGTTCCTTGACTTTTATCTGCTGGATCCATGAGAGAGGAATTACTTGCTTTGTCATTGAAGGTTTCTCTATTTTCTTCACCTAGGTTGAAATCTGCTTCCCTTTTCCAAGGAATATATTCTTTTGCTATATTTTTTAAGCTTTCTGAAATGTTTTCTGTTGTGTTTACTTCCAGACTTTCTTTCCCATGGCTTACAAATAATAGTAAACTAAACAAGGTTGAAATCAACGGAGTCTGGGTTGAGGTCAACATTGTAGCTTTCTTTGGTACTGGGGTTTATTCAGGGGAATCTGGAAGAAAATAACAACTATTTGAATGATTAAAGATCTACATTTTTAAAGTGATAAAATTTAAATACATAATACTGAGATAATAATATCATACTCTTAATACCAAAAGTTTGTTTTCTTTGAGCTATGTACTAATATTAGAATAACTGAGTTCTACATTCTGTATATATTTTTTTCTTCCCTTAAGAAAATCCCATGTAAAAACTTTGTCAGGCCTGACACCACTTTCCCCCTATTTCAAATATATATAAATATACATACATATACAATATATATACATATACATATATGTATACATATCCTATATATATATATATATTTATATATATAAATAACCATGGCCCTGACCTCCAATCCAGACATATCATTTTTCTTAAGTGTAGAAGTGCTATCAATTCATAGATAGTGGGATATGGGAAAAATGGTTTTTGAAATTAGATTTATATTAAAATTCTGGCTTCTGTCAAAAATAGCCTATGAAAAACAATTATCATAACCAGCAACTGTTTTAGCATCATCACAATAACTATATTGACTTCACATCATTGTTCTGAAGACTAAATGAAATGATCTGAGTAGAAGTATTCTAAACAATATATGACATCAAGTACACAATTAATAGACATTAACTTCCATTACTTATTATTAAAAGATAATATTTTCTGTGTCTTATACTCTACAAAGTTTATAATATCATTTCATTTGATCATCACAATGATCCCTTCAGACAAAAAGAGTAATTTGTATTATCTCTGTTTTGCAGATGAAGTAACTGAGGTTCAGATGTATGAGAACATTCACAGGGGCATTATTTATAAATGTCTCCAACCTAAACATCTATCAGTGACAGACTGGTTAATAAATTGTGTAAGATTAATATGTGGATATTAACAAACTAAAATCACATACAAAAAGATGGGTGATTATCACAATGTAATGCAGACCTTAAAATATCAGCTGAACTGGTGATTCCATGTAAATAAAATTCAAAGACAGGCAAAAAAAAAAAAACAACCCTAGAATGTTCTAGAATGCCAGATGTCAGGAAGCGGTCACTTGCAGGGAGCCAGGGGACAATACTGACTGAGTTGGCACTTAAAGAGCTGCTCTGTGCCCACACTGCCCTGGTTCTTGGACTGGTAGGGGTTACATAGGTGTTTGCATTTTTGATAATTCTGTTTATTTATATTTAATTAACATTTTTGTTATATTCAAGAAAGTTGATTGAGGTCCTAAAAATTGTTAATGTAACTGGAAAACAGATTACTATTAAGCACTTATTATATCAGATGCTTTGCATGTTTTCTCATTCAATTTTTACTAAAAACAATCAAACAATCAGAAAGGGATTATTAATCTTATTTTACAGATGATGAAATGAGGCATAAAAATGTACATAATGTGTCCAAGGAAACACACCACTAAAGAAATAGAGTTAGTATTCAAACCTAAGCATTAAACCTAGTAATTACTTATCTATGTAACAAAAGGTACAAAGGAATATGGAATTTAGTACTCAGCTGCTTTTTAAAACTTTTCCCATCAACATTATCTTAGCACAACTTCTACAAATTTTATTATTTTAATTAGAGAAAGTTATAATCTCATTTTTTAAACACTGGAAAATTTGGGCCTTCTACCTTAAATAACTCTCAAACACACTAAATACAATTTTATCCTAATTTAATATATTTTAACAATTGTCTCTATGGTCTCTTGATGGACACCTTTACCATGTAGTTTGTACCTTTTTAGAAACACCCTTCTCCTGTGAACTGTCAGGTTTGTGGCCAATATTATAGCCTTTGTCATTATCTACTGCCAGTGATCTGATTAGTTTTTGAATTGTACTTGGGCACCCGTCTTATCATTATTATGCAGTTTGATCTGGCTTTCCTCTACCTGCACTTTCTGGCTATTTTCACGTTCTAATGCAGTAGTCACCAGAGGGTAAGAAAACGTCCCTTAGCTGTTCTTCTACCTTTCTCATAATGTTACAGGAGAAACATGGCATTGAGCTTTCATTCCCTTCCCTTAATGAGGATCCACTTATCAAGAGTCAACAAAGTGAGTTTTGTTGTTCCTGTTTCCCTTTGCCTGTAACACTGAACCACCAAAGGGATCTCTCTACCCTTCACCCAGTTTTTGATTGCAATGTGAAGACCTAAGGTATCGATACCCCAAATGAGCCAAACATCCTGTTACAGCCTATAAAGAAGGGGCAGAGAGGATAAGACAGAATGCTATGAATACTATTGGCATTTTATTCTTAAATTAATAGAGTTGTGAATATAGACTTATTCCTGTTGTCCGGGCATGGCAGCAGGGACTTTGTTTCTGTACCCAGGCTTCTAAGAAAACCATGTTATACCTTGTCCTCAGGTCTCTTCATCTTTAAGGGATAGAAGCATCCAGGACTTGAAACCATTAGCTATTCCACATCCCTGTTCTGTACTGTTGTTGGAGCAAAGACTAAGCAATTTTAGTTAAGTTCAATCCCATTCTGAATTGAATAAAGCACATTATAAGAAGCAAAGGCTAATGGAGGTGGTAGAGAAGTTCCAAAGGGCCATGAAATAAAGATATATTCTTTCTCTTTGCACTTTTCTCTCAGCTTGTCTCTATCTCCAGAGGTCAAATTCTTAAGCTATGTTGCGAACTGTTATGTAAAGCTAAGTTAGGCTAAGTGATGGATGGCATGCTTGTGTGTGCCCAAGTTCATCTGTCAGCCAGATACAGTGCAGAAGGAAGCAGAAGTTGAAATGAAAGAGAAGAGTGAAATTGTCATTGGAGAGAAAATCAGGACAACCAACCAGGTAGTATATTCCCCTCCACCCTCTGTTCTCTGCCTCTTCTGGCCTCTAGATGAAAACTCCCAACAAAAACTTTGAGGGTGTAACATAGGAACCAAGTTGAGATCATAACAAACCCAAAAATTATCATGAAGGGAACAGAAAAAGAGAAGAGAATGTACATCCACTTTGTGATAGCTTAAACATAGATTCTAAACATTTCTGTGAATATTGACATCTTTGTATTATTTCTGTTACTTAATAACTTGCAAAATATATTTTCAGAGAGTATGAATTTCACTGTTTTTAAAATAATTCCTTAACATAGAGAAAATCAACACTATTTTCTCCTTTTCTTTGGCGTTGTTACTAAAAAGTGGTTTCATGTTACTACTTTTGTATGGAGTGCTACAGAAAGTGGTGAGAGAGAGAGGGAAAAAAAAAACTATGGCCATTATGGGAAGCAAATCCACACTTTCTGTACATAATTTTGCTTCTCCTTACATGCATGAAGTCATTATCCTGCCCCATTTCCATGTTCTAACTGTGTCACACCCATTTTATACCAAGCTTTGAAAAGAAAATATCTTGCTTTGTGTCAGGTAAATCAACCCATGCAGGGAAGAGAAAGGCTTGTCATTCTGAACTCAACCAAAACCAGAAATATTAAATAAAAACATTAGTTCAGGTACACAGAGGGGATAATATAAAAACATGTTTCTTTAGTGAAATAACTAGAGTATACTGTGCTACTTCTCTCTCTGTTGCTTTTGACTGCTTCTTGTTATAGATCTCAGGCCACAAAGTAAGACAGATGGGTTTTGTTTGTCTTTGTCATAGGAAACTCCGTCTGACATGTAGCCAATGTCCGAGGCAGACCTTGAGTGTTACTATGAGTGGCTTTTCCAATCTTGGCAGTATTTTGCTTTCCCTAAATGAAAGAGCCACAATAAATGAGGATGTGAAGAATCATGACTCTATAAATGCTTCTTTTATGAGAGTTTTGAAAGGGGGAGAAGACAACTAACCGTAAAGTAGGACTGTACCTGAGAATTATAGGCATATCATTTTACTTTTATTTACTTCAAAAAGAAAGAAAACCATGACTTTCCTCCCTACCTCCCCACACACACAAAAAAACATTATTTTCAAAAGTTTGTGAACATTATTCTAACTAAAAGTCTGAAAGGTATAAAAAAATCCAGGAAAAATACAGAGAACATCATACTCCCTGCTAACTTGGGTGTTCTCAGTCATAAACTACAAAGCCGAAATAATTAGGTGAAAGAGTGTCATGCTTAGAAAGAAAGGCTCGTCTCTGAAAGAAATATTCTGGACCCAAACTGCCAACCATGGGCTCTTCAGTCTTCTGTCCAGTTTCACTGTCTGTAGAAACAGTGTCTATGGATCAAATAGAAAGTGGATGAATAGTAAACCAAAATTAATTTTGAGAAACTGCATTTGCATCTTTGTTCCATGGGATGCCTTCTCTAACAACTGACTTAACCTTTAGATTTCAGTGAGTGGTAGACATGTGCACATCCCTGGCTAAGTACAATTATATACGCAACATTCTGCCAAACCTTTTAAAGAAAGTCTTCGGGAATGCAATTCATTGTATTAGAACATTGTTTTTTTAGAAACTATCATATTCTAATACTCTTGCAACAAGCTTGAAGCCCAAATGCATTATTGAAATTTAAATATTCAACTTACATGCATGCTGGAATCTCCACTTAAAATGCTTTTACTAAGAAGTGACCTAAGGAAACTCTTGTAATCACTTATGTTTGAAGTAAAGTTTTTATTTTAGCTCTTCAATTGGTTTCATTATCTAGTAAATTTGGCAGTAATTCTTAAAGTTAACTCACGTAACAATACAAATGCTCATTTCAAAGGTAGTTATTTAATGAAGTAACTACATGTCTTTACAAGGGTCTTTTAGCTACCTCTCAGGCTGTTGGTCAGCAGTCGAGCTCACTTTGATTCTCTTTGGAAAATCAATGAAAGAGAGAGGGGCAGACAGACAGACACAGAGTTGGGAGAAGAGGAATCCTGTGTAACGCAGCACACACTTACCTGTGTCTAGGAGGTGTTTACACACAGGAACTGAAATATCACAGCTGTCCCGGCTAAAATGAGTCTGCCGTGCATTAGAGAAAGCGATGGGTTAAGTGTGACGACGTCC